CCAGCTATTGTTCCCATCTTGAGTATTAAAGCCTTTGAAAAGAAATCGACTTAAGGTATTTATATCCTGTCAAAATTGGGGTTCAGAGACTGGATGGTATGTGTTCCCATTGCATTATACAGTCTCTAATTTCTCCATGAAGCATTCTCTACCTTGTTTTTGTTTTGATTCTGTTAGCATCAAAGTTGGCTAGTACCAAGAGGAGTTAAGTGTGTAAATCCAGGAGAGAAACTGTTGGTCAGTCACATCTTAAGGAGAAGAGAGAGGGACCTTGGGAATAGTGAAGAGAAAATAGGCCAGACTGTGGGCTGGTTTTCAGTCCGTCACCCACAAGAATGAGGGCAGCTGTGTTCGTGGAAGGACTTAGACCAAGTTGAATTAAGAATCTTGGTCCAAGGAGAATGTATAGCAATTCCCAGTGGCCCTGGAGATAGACCTCCTCCATAGGATAATGGTGTATAGAGTAAGTGTCAGTTTGGATTGCAGTTGGATTTGAAAGTAAACCGTAACCAGGAGCAGAAAGGTTCGTGTTCTGGTTAGCGCTGTCTTGTGGGAAGGTCGGAGGGAAAGATGACATGGATGAGAGGGTTAATTTGAGCGTCTTTTCTAGAGACAGGGAAAGAGTGCTTCTGGGAACTACTACTGATTGCTGGGCTTACAATAAACAATAAATACTTGTTGACTGTATGTGTTGTACATTGGTGCCCTGCTCAGATCCCCTTTATCAAGCTGGCATGCCCATCCCCCAGCTACTCTGAGTTTTGGCTGTTGAGTGCTCATAACTCTCCCCCCTCTCCAGAGACTCTGGACAGTTGTCCTCAGATGATGGGAGCTGCCTCACAGCTGGGGTGGGAGCTGTCCTCCACACCCCGCAGCCAGTGTCTGGTTGAAATGGGGGGTACAAAAGGCTGATTCACTAGGTCTGTCTCAGTGGGGGGTAGGGGGAACTGTGGTGCATTTACTTTCCCTGCAGAAGGAACTTGTGACCTGCACCTTTCTCCATAGTTCCCTTACTTCTTTCTCATTGGGGAGGAAATGCTTCTAACTCGGTCTTTCTCCCAGACTAAGGAGGCTCAAGGAGCCACCGAGACGGCGAAACCTCCCGGATTCCTGGAGAACACCAATGAGGTGGGGGGGGGCGGGGGCGGGATTTGAGGCGCTTCCGGTGGGCTCTCTGGGGCTTGTATTTGTCCTGAAGGTCTGGTGTTCTGCTCGTCTTCCCTCTTCCGGGTCGACCCCGCGGCTCTCAGTTCCGGTGTGCGGGTGGCGGAGGCGTCACGAGATGCACCGTCAGCACCGCGGCGTCCGGCCCCAGCCGGAAGTGGAGGGAAGCGCCTCGCTCTCGGTGCCCTCGGCCCCTGTCCAGCCCTGCTTTGTGCTTTGGCTTAAACCTAATGACGGGACCCATTAGGAGAGGCATGGGAGGCAAAACGTACGACAGTAGCGTTTTTCTGCCTTGTACAGAATCGTAGAATGACTTCACCAGTAAGTGCAGTTCTGGTGGCTTGGACCTAAGGAGAAAGGACATAACCCAGAGAAGGTCCAGAAAAAGGAGATTACACAAATCAGAGTGACCACAGATTTGAACCTGTCAGATCCCATGTAGTAGAACTAAGAGACACTATTTGAAATCAGAATGACACAGGGAGAAAAAGTAAGGGTAGGAGAGTAAGGAGGTACCTACGGAGATAGAGAAAATGCAGCAGATAAAAAAATTAGGGATATTCAAGGATGAAGACCAAAATGGAGAAACTAACGTGTTTTGGACTTGATGTCAGGGACAGTTTTACCTCTTTACATCTGTCTCTTGGTACCTCTGAGCATAATAGATCATGAGTTTGGTGCAGTATAGCAACTGGTTTGTTTTATCCTTGGCCAGAAATATTACAAGTACAGTATATATCACTGGTTGTGAGTGCGACCAGGAGAAAACAGGACTGTGTCAGCACAAAGCCATCAGTCAGTCTAGATAAGCAGCCTTAAACCTTTGGGGTTATAATCTTGTTTCTAAGAGAAAAGAAGAGTTACATTTGTTGTGCATTTGATGATGTGTTTATTTCTGTGTTGAGTACTTTACCTGGTATATCAATGTGCTCCTAATGCTGTAACAAAATGCTGCAGACGGGGTGGCTTAAGCAACAGAAGTTTATTTTCGTGCAGTTCTGGAGGCTGGAAATCAGAGATCCGGATGACAGCGGAGTTGGTTTCTACTGAGCCCTCTGCTTGGCTTGCTGACCGCTGCCTTGCTGTGCCCTCATATGGCCTTTCCTCTGTGTGTGTGCACTCCTGGTAGCTCTTCCTCCTCTTATGAGGACATCAGTCCTATAGATGAGGCCAACCCTATGACCTCATCTAACTTTACCCCCTTGTCTCCAAATGCAGTCACATTGGGGGTTAGGGCTTCAACGTATGAATTTTGGGAGACACAATTCAGTCCTCCTTAGGAGTGTATTTACAACGCACTGGCTTCCAGTGTATTTCCAATACATGTAGATTTATAATACAATATAGTTATAATAACTACTTAGTAGTGTGTCCCAATTTTATTTTTTTTTAAGATTTTATTTATTTATTTATTGGACAGAGAGAGATAGCTAGAGAGGGAACACGGCAGGGGTAGTGGGAGAGGGAGAGAGAAGCAGGCTCCCCACTGAACAGGGAGCCCGACCTGGGACTCGACCCCAAGACCCTGGGATCATGACCTGAGCTGAAGGCAGAGGCTCAACGACTGAGCCACCCAGGCGTCCCATGTGTGTCCCAATTTTAGAGTTGGGCAATCTGAGCTTCAGAAAATTAGTAAATTTTCCACGGTCAGATAGGTAGTAAGGATCGGAGACAGAATTCGTCTGTCCAGTTCTGAAGCCTGAATTCTTTCTCAGCAGCATGTGGCATATCTTTTTTCTTATGTATTTCTGTATTTTTTTTTTTTTAAGATTTTATTTATTTGACAGAGAGACACAGCGAGAGAGGGAACACAAGCTGGGGGAGTGGGAGAGGGAGAAGCAGGCTCTCCGCTGAGCAGGGAGCCCAATGCAGGGCTCGATCTCAGGACCCTGGGGTCATGACCTGAGCTGAAAGCAGACACTTCATGACTGAGCCACCCAGGCACCCCTCTGTGAGTATTTACACCGTGTTTATATAGTGCTTTAAGTTCTATAATATTTAATATGGTCTTCAAAAGCTCTGCAGGGAAAGCAAGCAGTTCAGTCCTCATTTTACAGATGAAGAGATGGAGGCACAGAGATAGGACTTGACCATAACTTATCTCTGAAATGGAGCCTGGAGCCTCAGGTCTCCTCAGTCCTAACCTAGACAGTGCTCCACACTACAGTGAGAGAAAAGGCCTGTATCTGATGTCTTCACAGCTTTCTAATTCTTTCTGGCAGCAAATTGTGTGAGCTTCACTCCTCATTCCAGTATCTTCCCAGATAAAGATGGGTGACTAGGATGTGCATATGTGTTCTCCCAAAGGGGTCAATGCAATTCCAAATTGTCCCTGGTTGAATGGTGCTGGTGAGTTATGTGTACTAGTTATGTCATCATGAGAAAACACAAAGGAAGCAGGTATTTGATCCAGAAGGGGCAGGATTTTAGTAGAAAAGACCCATGTAAACTGCCACAGCCCATGGGGATGGTGCTCGGGCAAACCTGTATCTTGGAATTTGGCCGAAGGTCACCTGTCACTAATCAGGAGACAAAAAGATCTTGATTGTGGGCAGAGGAAACCAAACAAAGCAATCAATCCTCAAGGACACAGAGATAAGACTTGGTCTCTCCTGTCCCTGTCTTAGCCAATTTGGATTCTTTTTTTTTTTTTAAGATTTTACTTATTTGACAGAGAGAGACCCACAGCGAGAGAGGGAACACAAGCAGGGGAGTGGGAGAGGGAGAAGCAGGCTTCCCACGGAGCAGGGAGCCCGATGTGGGGCTCGATTCCAGGACCCTGAGATCATGACCTGAGCCAAAGGCAGACGCTTAACGACTGAGCCACCCAGGCGCCCAGTAAATTTGGATTCTATTTCACAGGGTCTATCCTGCTCCCAGAGTTTATCACCAATCCCTAAAACTCTACTGAAGTGGGCAAGCTGTTCCTGGTTTAAACTGCTGGTCTCAATATAGCTCACTGAAATCTTGCATGAGTACCTTTTGATTATTTTGCAGCTTTCAAATCTATCAGATGCTTGTTTCTTCTGCTTCCTTTTACACAATGGCTTGAGACCATGTTAGTTTTTAACTGTTGGTAGTACCTGATTTTGCTGTAGATGATATCCATGAGTTTCCGTTTGGCTATCCTGGTTGCTCTGTTTTTAGGGAGGGACTTGGGGAGATTCAAAAACTATGCCCCTATCACTGCCTTCTCTCGTGTCCCTTTGAGAGCAAGGGACCCCTTCACAAAAATATCCTGACAGAGTGTCCTACATATGCATCTCATTAGCAAGAATTATAACACGTGCCCATGCTTAAATAAACCCAGTGTGAGGATGGTGTTAAACCATGATTAGCATCAAGATTCACTTCCTGGAATGAGAAGAAAAAAGGAAGAACACATAAGTACATAGATGGTGAGAAATTGAACCTGAGTGGGGCTCTGCCTGAAAGGGAGAAGCAAGGCAGCAGCGGTGAAGATGGGGACAGATCTGAGTATAAGACTACGTATTAAGAGTACTATTTTTCTGGGGTGCCTGTGTGGCTCAGTTGTTAAGCGTCTGCCTTCGGCTCAGGTCATGGTCCCAGGGTCCTGGGATCGAGCCCTGCATTGGGCTTCCTGCTCCGAGGGAAGCCTGCTTCTCCCTCTCCCACTCCCCCTGCTTGTGTTCCTTCTCTCGCTGTGTCTCTGTCAAATAAATAAAATCTTAAAAAAAAAAAAATACTATTTTTCAAAACTGACAGTAATATGCAGAAATGTATTTTCACATCATTATTCTGGATACACATACATCCAATTCGTGTAAGTGGAACAAGTTTCCTGAAATGATACTACATAGGAAAATGAAACACAGTAAATTCAAAATATAATTTTATTAATATTTAAATACAATCTACTAAAAAAAAAAAGCCCTTAAAAAGTACAAAACCAAAATTTCATGGAGATTGGATTTAATGTGAGGGGTGTGCTTGCCTGTTCATAAGTTCATTCCAGTCAGGAACACAGGAGGATAAGGCTACACGCATGTCAGGTGCACTGTTGAGCCTATTTCTTTTCTTTGTTTTTAATCGTGTTAAGATTGAAAATCCTAGTTCACACAAATAGGTAGTTGTGAATGGTAGTAACAACAATATACTCTTTCTACTTAGCAATGGAAATTCATCTTTAATCTTAATCCAAAATGCTGATAGACTTAACGTCTTGTAATAATTCTTTAGTGTGAATGATGAACTGAGCTGCAGTAATTCATTCTCTTCTTCAGGCTCCAAGTTTAACTCAAGGATTGATTCTGGGGTTTGAAAAACAAATGGATCTTTTATCCAAATATTTTCCTTTAATGATTCAAATTTCTCTTCTGGAAAGTAATGATGAAAGGTTTGAGACAAAGAAGTGAGATGCATCAGTATCTCTAATTTTATTTCTTTTAAGCAGTCTTCATTTATAATGTTCTCTTCAATGTGTTGCAACAAAGTTGGGAACATATAGTAGCTAGGGCGATTACTTTTAAGTCTTGCTTGCCACAACAATAATGTCCTTTGGAATCCTAGAATATGTTCAAGATACTGAAATACATCGTTTTTCCCCTGTACTTTCAAATTTAACTCATTAAGAATGCCAAAAACATCACTTAAATATGCCAGTTTTGTTACCCAAATGTCATCTTCAAAAACATTTGCCAAATGAGATTGCTTTTCAATGAGAACAATGTAAATCTCATTCCTGAGTTCATATACTCTGCTCAGTACCTTTCCTTGAGACAACCAACGAACTTCTGTATGAAACAGTAAGTGGGTATGGTTAACTCCAATCTCTGAACAAAATATTTCAAGAAGTCGACTGTTCAGTGAGCTTCCTTTAATAAAATTAACAATTTTCACTGCATTTTTCAATACATCCATTAGACTTGGTGGAATTTCCTTGGACACCAAAGCTTCTCGATGAATAAAACAGTGATTCCAAAGAGCCCTATTACATGTTACTTCTAACAGTTTTTCAATAACCCTGCTATGTTTTCCAGTCATATTTGCTGCTCCATCACTTGAAATTCCTTTACAATTTTTCCAGTTTAATTTATATTGACCAACAATGCACTTTTCTAATTCAGTAAATAAAGCTAATCCAGTTATGTGTGAATTTAAACTTAAACAACACAACAGATCCTCTATAAAATCATCTTGCCACACATACCTGATGTAAACCAGGAGAGTTGGACAACTTGCAATATCGGTGCTCTCGTCAAGTTGGATTGCAAAATCTATCCCAGACTGTAGCCGCGCAATAAGCATCGCCTCTAAATGTTTTGCGATCGTACAGATTCGACGAGATATCGTATTGTCACTAAGGGGTATGGTTTTTAATTTATCAGCTGATTTATCATCAAAAACTGTCCGTACCATATCCATACACGCTGGAAGAATAATTTTTTCAGCAGCTGTGTGAGCCATTTTTTCTTTTGCTACTCGATACGCAACCAAGTATGATGATAACAAGGCCCTCTCATTCATGGTTGTAGACCGACTAAGAAATGGTGGGCATAATTCTGTGCTGTTTCTTTCCCTTTGGAAATGGTCTTCCTCATCTTCATCTTCCTCCTCCACTTTCACGATCACTACGCCTTCCATCTCCTGGGTGGCCTGGGGAGACCAATCTGCAGTATGCCTTGACTCAGCAGTGTTCAGGTTCAAAGAACTGGCTCACTTGATCCAAACAGGGTCTGTCTGCAGGACTGTCCTTTTTGTCCTAGATGTTTTAGGAGACCAGTTTTTGCTATCCTGCAGAGTAGAAAAATTTAATAGCAGTATGAAAAAGTAACATTGTAGTGCAGTGCTAACACCTCATGTGAGTAGTCATGAAGAGAATTCACTAAATCCAATGTCTTGGTATCTATGTGCAGACAGATTCAGTTGATTACATTATGTTTTTGTATATAGCTCATTTAATACCCTTGGAAACCTTATGCAGTACATGATTACTCCGATTTTAAAAAGCTCAGAGAGGCACCTGGATGGCTCAGATGGTTAAGCATCTGCCTTCGGCTCAGGCATGATCCTGGGGTCCTGGGATCGAGCCCCTCATCGGGCTCCCTGCTCAGCCGGGAACCTGCTTCTCCCCCGCTCTGCTGCTCCCCCTGCTCATGCTCTCTCTCTCTCTGTATCTCTTGTGTCTCGAATGAATAAAAAATCTTTAAAAAAAAATAAAAAGCTCAGAAAGATTAAATAATGTGTCTAACACTACAGTGTAGTAGATCCACTACTCAAACCCAAGTCTTAAGTCCAAGGTCCTAGCTGTGCTGCCACACTGTTAATCTAGTCACTATAAAAGAGTGATCTAGTCATTCTTAAAATGACCATCTGAGTAGGGTGTACAGGATGACCCACTGGGGCACAGGGAAAAAAAATAAAACCTGTATTTGTATTTTAAAAATACTGAAACCCACTTAACCTTTCCTGATAGCCCCCCTGCTTCAGTCCCCATCTCACAGCACTTAAATTCTGTCACCATTTGTATTGCTGAACTTCACCTTACAACTATTAAATTTTCTTTGCTCATTTCTCTCCATGTTTAGTGATAGATCTTCTGAAAATCCCATCTGTCTGTGGTCTTTTAAGATGAAGGAAAAGGCATCTCAGTCTTTGACATCTGGGTCAAAGTTTTAAAGGTGGGGAAGGGGGAATCGATCACATGTTCCTAGATGTTCCCTCATAGTGGGAGTATGAATCAAAATGAAGGGACACGGAGGAAGTGAAACTCAAAAGATACAGGGCTGAGGTCAGGGGCACAGTCACTCCTCCCTGACCTGTAGGCCTGCAAGGAGTGGTGGTGCTAATATTCTGGGCAAGGGCAGCAGAAAGACAGGGTTTTACTTTATATTACTTGAATGATCCCAGAACCCAGTCCTCTTTCAACTTTAGACTCACTGTTTCCATTCCTAGTTTGATATATGTAATATTTTTATGGCTTTTACCCTGAAATTTCATTTGTAATAGTTTCATGCCTTATCTCAACTAGACTGTTCCATTGTGCTTTTGCTCTTATCGTTTCCTGTAAGTCATTTTTATGTAGTTCCTTGCAACTCATAGACATTTAAAAAACACTGGTTTGAATACAAGGTCAGTATTTGCTGCCCATTTTTAGAAAGATCAACAAATTTGTTATAAGTCTGGTATTTCAACATTTGGAAGGGCATGCCATTTATAAATTAAACTATAAAGTTATTTGTAAAACATCTGAATAAGGATGGGAGGAATATTATAATAGCACAGATTTAAAGTACAGAAATAAATTATGTGTCCATGGGTAAGTTACTTATCTCCCACTGCACTGTGTAACCAACCTACTTCTCCAGCAAATAGATTTCATTGGTATGCTTTCAATGAATTCTCTGCAACTGATTGATTAATTGCATACAATCTCTTCAGCACTGATCTGTGTTGTGTTTTCGTGTTTGTTTGGTCCTTTGCCACTTTCAATAACAGAAGTATCTTTCTGGTGGCACTGCAGGAAATGGAGATGGGACATTAGGTTTGGCCCAGGTGGATTTTTCAGTTAAATTCACTTATCAATGAATTTCCAAGTTGGAAGGACCCTTTGAGATAATCTAGTTAATTTTACTTAGGACAAAATTGAGACCCGGTGATGTTCCATCCAAAATCATCCTGCTAATCAGTGGCAGAGAGCGCACTGGAAATGGCCTCCTATTAGCCCAACACACTTTCCACTGCATCCTCACAAATCCCCTTCACCACTCACCGCTTGAGGTCAAGCACAATTACCTTGCACAACTGAAAAATCCACCTGATGTCTGAAATCAGACATTTAAAAGTCAGAAAGTTCAGAAACTGCAAAGAAAAGAGTGAAGTGTATGTAATCTTTTCCTACTGCGTCCAAAATCACTTTATTCCCTAGTTTTTGAACACTAATCACCACCATTATTGGTGATGGGCTTGGGGGGTGAGCACATGATCTGCAAACATTCATGAGGCTTAGCAAACTTGTCCCCTTAAAAAAAAAAAAAAAAAAAAAAAAGCCCGTGGAGCTTGGTGGGTCTTCCTCATTTTACATTTTTGGGTCCTTAAGAACTCAGGTAAAAAAGCCCTCACCAGAAGGAAAGCAAACGCGGACAACTGGGTAACACAGACATTAGCCCAGGGTCCTTTTGTCCGCTACCCCCGGGGTGAAAACCGAGGACAAGAGAGCCTAGGCGGGGCACGCAGTGGACTGCCTCTTCCCGGTCCCAGAGGCACCTCATCCTAGCCGGAAAACAAAACGCCGTTCCCTCTCCGCTTGGATCCGGGGCTGTTCTCCGCCGGGAGACCGCGCGTCCTCCGGCCGAGGCTGGGATGCAGGACGGGAACGTGGACCCTCCTCCTCCCGTCGGGGGCTGTCGTGGCGAGGGAAGTCGCGGAACTCGGCTCTCCACATCCACCTCTTTCCCGCCCATCCTCCCTAGCCGGACCCACGTCTCACCGTGAACCCTGGAGAAGTCTGGGGGTGCTGGGACAGAAAAGGGAGGTGACTGGGACGGCCGAAAAGCAGCACGCAGTCCTTCGCTCGCCACTACCCTCAGTGCGCGCGCACGTCTGTCCGGCTCACAGAAGCCGGAAGTGCGTCAACACCAGCCTTTCGGGGCCGGGCTGCCCTTCGAGGTTCTCTCTAGGAACGCGGGAGGACTGCAGCCTTGTTCTCCAGTCGCCAGTCTGGCTTTGGGGATCTCTCACCTCAGCTCAGCTTTTCCCGCCTCGGAAAAGGAGGCTTAAGTTTCCTTTGATACCATCCCGCTCAAATACTTACACGTTTATTCATGGCAGTAATCATAAGAATTCTAGTTCTTATCAAACAACACTAGTGATGCTGTGTCTGTGTAAGAGGAACCGTAACAAAAATGCAGACTGAGGAATATCAAAGGCAAGAATGAATGGTTTCACAAAACCCAAGTGGCGGCTGCTCTAGGGACCCTGATTACGTACTGCCATTTGAATGGGCAGTATTTTCAAAAATTTCTTCTATGGGCAATAAACTTCTTTAGTACTAGATAGTGGTGAGATTCTGAGCTTGGCGAAAGTTACCAGGGAGTTTTCGGCCTCATAATAATGTAATTACTACAGTAAGTCCAATTTTGCTGTCAAAATGTTAGCACAGTAGTTACGGCTTTTACCATTACTTGAGGAGAAGATCAAGAAACCTCACCTTTTATAAAACCATAACCAAGACCTTGAAAGACTGACACACACACACTCGAAATTCCAAGACAAGTCTGAGCACAATGGAAAGCCCACCAGAGTTAGAGCCACATGCTACAGAGGCAACCAATGACCAGGTGATAGTCTGAGTAACCCTCCAAGCCCTAAATAATATCCCATCCCCTGTGAGGTTTGACCTTGCTGTGGTTGTCGCTGTTTTCTTTCTACTTCCCCATTGACTCAATAAACCACTTGAGTAGATCTTTCCTTCTTAATCACTGGCTGACTCACTAAACTATGGTCCTCCTTGAAGACCTTGTAGTCCCAGAACTTCTTCCTCTACATACTTCCTCAAATTTCCTTCCAGTGTTCCAAGTCATCTCCAAGAGCCATTACATTGTTATGCGTTGTTTTTCTTGTCTAAACCCTGCCCTCTCCTTTTCATCCCTACCACCCGCCCCCCTTCATTCCTAAACTAAAGTGCCTAAAAGGTTCAGGAAGGTAGGTTATTGAATGCAGATGGCCGGTATGTTTTTGTATTTATGTAGCGTGTGTGGCAGAGACTGTGGGGGGCCTTTATAACTCCATTCTTTGCCTGTTGATCTACCGGCACAAGGAACCTGAAGTGGCCTGGTGATATTCTCACTTTCCAGTTCACTGGAACATTTAATGTAGCTCCTAGAAGAAATGTTCTTCCTGCAAATCAGAACCACAACCCAGAAGACTCTGGGCTTGGAGATAAGAAGCACAAATTCCACAAGTGAGTTACTGCGTATGATAGTAATAGGGGCTGCTCCTGTTTCAACCCCTTGGTTCCTGTACCCACTTAGTCTTTCTACTGGAGACAAAATATCATATATATGTTATCGGTTCAATGAGTATCAGTGCAAATACTGTATACTAGAGGACAGCTCCCCAACTTTGCAGGTTGTAATTGAGCTGAGTCTTCAATATGCCATTCCACAGTTGTTGTTGTTGTTGTTGTTTTAAGATTTTATTTATTTATTTGACAGAGAGAGAGCAGGAGAGCACAGCAGGGGGACCTGCAGAGGGAGAGAGAGAAGCAGGCTCCCCACTGAGCAGGGAGCCCGACACGGGGCTCGATCCCAGAACCCTGGGATCATGACATGAGCCAAAGGTAGACCTAACCAATTAAGCCACCCAGGTGCCCCTGCCATTCCACAGTTCTATCGGATAGCTGCTTCTGGGTGATGAGTAAGCACCGTGAATTCTGCAGTTACAAGTTCATTGTCAGACCTCCTTGACCATAAAGTGGGTTCCTTGATTTAAGGTATGTCTAATGGATAAGGCATCCTATAAACCCTCAGATGATGGTGCCGGTGGAGATAAAGCAGTCAGGGAAAACAAACCCTTGTTTAGAGCCTGTGTCAATTCTGGTGTAATATTTTCTTTCTTTTGTAACTATCCATGCCTAGTGCAATGGTGGGCATATGGGAAAGACGAAGGAAGTCCTCAATCCCTTAGGAATAGTTGTTCATATATTTTTTTCTTTGAAGCAATAGAGTATAAGATAAAAATGACAAACTTTATGAGTTGGCTAACTGTTGCCACCTATGTCATCTGAAGAACTGTTGAAAATTTTGCTCAAAAGCAAAATTAGTTTCTAACTACTTTTTGTTAGGGATTGATGCCTACTGAAGAGAAGTTTTATTTTTTTTTTTAAGATTTTATTTATTTAGGGGCGCCTGGGTGGCTCAGTTGGTTGAGCGACTGCCTTCGGCTCAGGTCATGATCCTGGAGTCCCAGGATCGAGTCCCGCATCGGGCTCCCTGCTCGGCGGGGAGTCTGCTTCTCCCTCTGACCCTCCCCCCTCTCATGTGCTCTCTGTCTCTCTCTCTCATTCTCTCTCTCAAATAAATAAATAAAATCTTAAAAAAAAGATTTTGTTTATTTAAAGAGAGAGAAGAGAGAGCACGGAGGGAGGAGCAGAGGGAGAGGGACAAGCAGACTCTTCAACGTGCAGAGTTGGAGCCCACAACCCCAAGATCATGACCAGAGCTGAAACCAAGAGTCGGATGCTCAACTGACTGAGCCACATAGGCGCCCCGAGAAGTGGACTCTTAAATGAGTGCTCCTAAGGTACTCTGACTGGAGCAAACTGCCTGAGTCAGCTAAAACTTAAGACACAAATGCACCACTGCCGCAGTTTGCTCACCTCTGCTGCAGAAATGCAGCAGTCTAATCGGTACGACTTGTGGGGAAATGGCAACTCAGGAAAAAACCCCAAACTCAGAGCGATCCTAGAATATTAGAAGAGCTATTAATGAAGAGGAGGAAGTAATGTGCCATCTACTGTCCCAGGGATCTCAACAGGAACAACAAACATCACCAGGGGGTATATTTTTGTTCAACACAAGAAAAAGGTTCTAACTGGAGCTGTACAGCAAGCAACTGACTAAGCAGTGCATCTTCTGTGATGCTGACTCCATTGTGTCGATACTGTAGACTAGAGATTGTGTCATAGTAGAAAGTTGCATTAGATCAATGACACTCAAGAAGGAAAGAAAGGGAAGGCATATTAGAATCTCTGAGAGGCTGATGGAATTTGAAAAAGCATGTAGAATACTATACTTCTGATTTTTCTTATATTTAATTTGAAATGTTAAATGTCATTAAAGGATCATACTTGATTTGTAAACTTAAAGGACTAATATCGAAAGCCCCTTGCAAATCCAGTTCCACCACTAGACATCCCATTCTGGAAGGATCTGGGAGGTCACAATGCCCTCAGGGCTTCTGTTCTAGCGCCTGTCTTCAGGCTCCCTGCTTTACCTATCCGTTTCTGTAGAGTCCAGTCTTTCCACCAGGAACGCAGCTGTCTTCCACGATCAATTTCTCTGACCAACTCCAACTTCCTCAATGCCCTGTCCCTTCCTCCAAAACATTAATGGTTTCTGATCCCACGATTTTCTGTGGTCCTCCTACCACCCAAACGCCTTCCACCCTCGCTTTAATCAATGTGTTTTGGGGGTGCCTGGGGTGGCACAGTTAAGGGAGGGGCTCTTGGTTTCAACTCAGGTCTGATGTCAGGGTCATGGGATCGAGCCCCACAGCAGGAGACTCTGCTCAGTGCAGAGCCTGCTTGAGATTCTCTCTCTCTCCCTCTGCCCCTACGCCCCCCATCTCTCTCTCTCTCAAATAAATAAATCTTTTTTTATTTAAAAAAAAATTTTTTTTTTAGATTTTATTTATTTGAGAGAGAGAGAGAAAGAGATAGTGAGAGAGAGCACAAATGGGGAGGAGAGGGAGAAGCAGGCTCCCCACAGAGCAGGGAGCCCGATGCGGGACTCGATCCCAGGATGCTGGGATCATGACCTGAGCCGAAGGCAGATGCCCAACCGACCGAGCCACCCATGCGCCCTAAAATAAATAAATTTTAAAAAAACAGTGTACTTTGCACCCCTGTGCTGTTCCCCCCCCCCACCCCCCGCTGACTTAAGGAAGTGGGACCCTGAGGTCCGCCACGCCTCCTCACCCCGACACGCACCACGTGGGCTGGCCACCACCCAGCGGGGGTTCGAGGGTTGGCTGGAACCACGGAAGGGCCAGCGGGGCCGCTTTCCCGAATCCGGGGCTGTCGCGGTCATTACCGGTATACTGGCTACAGAGGGTGCCAGAGGGGTCAGCACCGAGGGAGGTCAGACCCAGAGAAGTACACGGAAAAATAAAAAAAAACAAGCACGAGACCCTCGCGGTACGGGGCCCTCACCCGGGACCCTCATCCGGGGCCTGCCTTTTGCCCACGGCCGTCGGACTCCGCCTCCGGAAGTGCCACTGAGAAGCGCCGGCCTCCGAGCGGGCTAGAGCGACCCCGGAAACCCGGGGGCTGCTCCTAGAGCGAGGGTGTCCGCGACGGGACGGCCGCTGGGCCTGCTCCTCCGCTCGGGTGAGTGCCTGGCAGCCGTTCTGGGGTCGCGGCGGGCGTCGCCGTTAGTTTAGGCTCCCGGGAAGGAGGGGGAGGCGCCCGGTTCCGGCCGACGGCGATTTCGTCCCCAGGAGCGCTCAGGGGCCGGGGTGCGAGGGCCTGTTTCTCCTCAGTCAGGGTTCACCCTGACGCCCGGCGGGCTGAGGGCCTCGCCGCCGGGGCCCGGTGACCGTGCCCTGGTGCGAGCTGGGTCTCTGTGGCCCGCCTTGCTCTTCGGGGAGCGCGTGTTCACCTAACAGGGAAGTGGGAGGAGGGCAGCGCCGGGCGAGGCCTTCCGAGGGCAGGGCGCCAGGGCCGTTTCTGGGGCTGTGGAAACGGGACGGAGCCCTGTGGCGTCCTTGGGTTTGAAGGACACGAGCCAAACCTGTTTGAGTCTCAGCTCTTCCCTGGGTCACTGTCAGGGCCGTGGGAAGCGGCCTGCCCACCTCGTCTGCGTTGGTGAAGGGTCTGACCCCCACCCTCTCCCCCCACCAGGTGGGAATTTTGTCATTAGGCAAGCCTGTTTAGGAATTCAAAGTGGGCAGAGTGTTTGCCAAGTAATTCCTCGGGAGCCTGCCTTAAAAAAAAAAAAAAAAAGTAATCATAACTAGCATGTTTCTCTGGGTACAAACTTGACCCTTGAAAGAAGTCTGTATATTTCAAATATATTTTTTTAAGATTTTATTTATTTATGTGACAGAGAGAGACACAGCGAGAGAGGGAACACGAGCAGGGGGAGTGGGAGAGGGAGAAGCAGGCTTCCCGTGGAGCGGGGAGCCCGATGCGGGGCTCGATGCGGGGCTCAATCCCAGGACCCTGGGATCATGACCTGAGCTGAAGGCAGACGCTTAACGACTCAGCCCCCCAGGCGCCCCTATACATTTCAAATATTTTAAACTTTCCTCAGAAATCTTTAAGTTGTGCTTTCTTGATTTTTGTTTTTCTTGAAATACCACGAATTCTGAATTAGTGGAGTTTAAAGCTGCACACTTGGACCATATGATTTGGTTCTTAAATATTTGAAACTGAATAATTTCCATTTTTCTTTCTGTTGTTTTATTAAGGCGGTTGGTTATTATTAACTGTTTTTATCGAGTACCTGCAGCGTGTAAGATACTTTGCTAAGTCCTGAGGACGTAAAATAATGGGCTGGCTTAACTTAGTGCAATAAATTCTCGCAATCTCACCCGGCAGTGATGGTCCTTGTCCTCCAGAACAGGGATGGAGGAACTATCCGCCCAGGAAGCAGCAGGATCACCAGCTGTCCAGTTTCAGTCTTTGGAGAGCCTGTCTGAGGGTCTGTCCCCAGAGCCTCCGTTCGTGCAGGACACCGACATGGAACAGGAGCTCAGTGGGGGTAAGGCCAAGGGAGCACTTAAATCCAAGAGAACGGGGGTGCAGTGGGGCTCCTGGGCCTGGTATGAGAGAGGCCGGGAACGTCGATAAGAAGATGGCCCCTAGGGGAGGTCTGGAAGGGAGGGTCAGATGTGACTCAGTTCAGTCCTGGTCTTGGGCTCTCTGTTAAGGACAGCCCATCTTTCTTTAATAGGCAGAGTGGTGGTCATTCACTCTGCTTTGGCTTCTTTTCATTCATACAACCTTCACTTTATCCTGGTTTCACATCCAGAACAATTTCTAAGATACGCTGCTTTTGCTGCATCTCACAATCCTTGCCTCGCTCTTACTTCCTCTTAGATTTAGGGCCCTTCTCTCCCCCTGTTCCCTTCACTTAGTGTCTTCCCTCCTTGATGACTTTGCGAGCTCTGCCACCTGCCGTTCTGTTGCAGCTGCAGTGTTTGTGACTAATCTAATTTTGGCCAAAAAAGCAACCATTTAGTTCCTTGGTCGAGCACAACGCCTGTACGAGCGTATACATATCACATATTGACTCAGCAGTAACATCTTTATGTATCGTATAGATAGGTTGACATGTCTTGTACTTTTTTTGTTTTGTAAGAACCTTGTTTTAAATTGCTGTGGCCAACTGCAGTGCCTGAAATAACTTATGTGTCAGCAACACCAGTTGAGTGCCATGGTGTGTAGAGTGCTGTGGGGTGTTGTGGGAGTGTGGAAAAGGTTGTGAGGAAACAGATGACCATTCCTTATTCTTGGGAGCCTTACACAATGGTTGCAGAGACAGTGCCCTTTCACATGAAGGCTTACTGAGATTTACAGAACAGTGTCTGGAAAAGCATCAGAAGTCAACCAAATAGTCATTGCCCTGGACAAGTCACTGCAAGTCTTTATGCTTTGCTTTGCCCATCTGCAAAACAGGTGTAGTGCTTACCCTCCTGTTAGAGGAATGTCCTGTCATGAGAACAAAGTGAAATACGAGATTTTATAAGAAAATCCTGAATCACGGGTCTAAACATGGGTAAAGAGGGCATGCTGATGCTGAGAAGGAGCAGAGTAGATGCACTCAGTACCTGATAAACGTTCATTGGTTTTACTAGAATGTTGATGTGAAGAAGGGTCCCACTGACTCCCTCTTCTGTCAGGGAGCCCTGGGGAAGGGTTGCTCTCACTCTTGGCTCCTCTCTCCTCCCTCAGCTCCACCTGTTCCCCAGGTGCCTGCTCTTCCCCATGAGGGAAGCCCAGGAGACCAGGCAGCTACGCTCCTGACAGCCAGGTATCAGGTGAGCTGAGGAACCCTCTGTTTTTCCTCAGGGACTGTTGCTACTGATCGAGTGTGGCCCTTCCCTCATCCCATCCGTAAACCCTGCCGCGAATTTTTTTCAATAGCAGACCCCAGTTTGGGAATTGATCCTCTTCAGAGACCTGGACTTCACAGAAACCACCTTCCCATTTCCCCACCTCCACCAGTAAACACTGTTCCTTCTTTATCCCTGGTGCTGTGATGGGCGTTTATTAGATGTTAAAGGTTATGGAACTTATTCCCTAGTTTCTAGTCTGTTTTCCCTCCTCCCCAGCTGCTACACACTGGACACCCTCGACACCCTCTCTGTGTCATCTCCTTTTTTCTGGCCACGATGCTATAGTGGCCTCATTCCCCAGAGCAGCCAGGCTGTGTTATTTCAGGAGTTTGTGACATTCGAGGATGTGGCTGTGCACCTTACTCGAGAGGAATGGGGATGCCTGGACCCTGTTCAGAGGGATCTCTACAGAGAAGTGATGTTAGAGAATTATGGGAACGTGGTCTCACTGGGTAAGGACTTTCTTATTATTCAGTTTACGTATTAGGATTTCTTTACTTCCTTGTTTCTGAGGAGGTGCGAGGTCTCTGAGAAAGCAGAGATTGGTTCAGATTCCAGGTCTTAGAACCTCTGAATCCTCCATCTTCAAGGTCATTTCCTCTGGGAGTGGGTTTTCTTGGGGGGAGGGTGAGTTCAAGAGGAGACATTTTACTCCTTATCTTTAATTAACGATTCCTGCTTTCGTGGGGCATCTGTTTCCTGTTAGAAAAGGGAAACTTGCTTGTGCTTTGCCTAAGTTCTCACCTTCTCTATCTTTTCCTTTTTTATGAGAGGGACTTTAGAGCCTCCCAATCCACAACCAGACAGTTCCTTCCTGGTAATTCAGTGCCCCTGTATCTGAAAGTTTTCCATTTTTCTTGGAAGAAGAAATCCTTTTTTTAAAGATAGGCTGAAATCCTTGTTGAATGATCCCTCACCTCTTAACATTCCTAAATTCATCTCCAAGAGGCAGAGTTCGAGAGGCTTCATTTAAAGACATGACTCACTGCAAGTCTATTTCAGTGAGTCATCCAGATGGTAGTCCTAAGTAACCTCACCCAGAGCAGCAGAAGTTTCAGCTTTAAACCGAGTCTCTCCTTTGTTGTTTGGGTGGTACAGCGGGCTGCCGGGATTAGGCACCCGGTAGTGCTCTAGAGCAGCATCAACGGGGCTGTTGGCAGCCCCCTTGATGTGAGCATTGCTCCTTCTCCTCTTTCTTTTGCCAGTCTCTACTTCTGCTTTTTTTTGTTTTGTTTTTAATCTTTTGTATGTATGTATTTAATCACACTTTTTTTTTCTCTTTTTTTTTTGGCTTTGCCTATGCTGGTGGCATCCAGGGTGTTCCTTTGTCTCCTTGATTATGCTCAGGATTAAAGAAGGCTTTTTACCTGTGGGGAGGCAGCCTGCCCACTGGGAAGGTTTTTAGTGTGTTTCCCATTCCTGGCTCTTTGATCTTTGTAGGCATACTTCTCCGTCTTCCTACCACCCGGATTCATAGTGTGAATTCCTGCCCGGCCCTGAGTCATACCCAGGCAAGTGCTTTCTCTGGAGAAACACTTGCAGTTCTTTCAGCAGGAATCTCCAAGAGATGGCCCAAGTATCGGCTTCCCATCGATATTGCTCGTCCCCGCTCGGAAACTCCTTTTCCACGATTGTAAGATATTACACTTGATTGATGCTCTCAGGATGCCACCACTGTGTAAAATTGCAGCTCCTCAGATGACCTTTGTTAAATTTCGGAAGGGCCAAGGAGGCCCTCCATTGCAGCCAGATGAATTTTGAACCTGAGTTCTGAGTTCATTCATAAGCCACGGTTGGTGGTCATCTACTTGTGTTCTGACAAACCACAAAGTTCAACTCCAGCTCCTCAGTTATGATCTTTTCATGTTATTTTAGAATGTGGAACATATGCTGTGCACCTCTCTTTTCTGTAGTGAATATGACCAGCCCCTTCTGTTGTCTGACTTTTCTGTGACCCCTGGGCTTTCCTCATGTTTAACACTCTAGTCTTCTCCTTTAAGTCCCCATGGCCCCCTCCAAGGCCCTGACTTTGTCCCCTTTATTCTTTGTGGTGCTATACAGATTGATGCATTTAAATGACTTTTCCTGATCAAGTGTTCCTTAGCTCTGTCCTTGATGGATGGGAAATGGGAGGGCAAGAGTTTAATTTCTTTATTTCAGGGTATCAAATTGAATGTATATTTAACAACTTTGTAAACTGTAAAGTGATGTAATTGTAAACTGCTGTTAATTTTATCTAATAATTACATAATTTCCAACAGTTAACCTGTCTACTTTTTGGAGTAAACAAACTTCTTAGCACTTGAGTCAGCCTAGTAGCACAGCGTGCCATGAGACTGAATTTTATCCCATTTCCTGTGTCATCTCTGCACAAGTACAGGACACTCATGCACACGCACACATACTGGCTACAGATGCATACAACAGACCCTCCTGTTCACCTTGTTTTTGTGACCACGTCAGCAGCATTTTTAGTTAATTATTTTTTACAGTTCTCAGGAAATCATTCTCATATTTGTGGGCTCAGCAGACTCCACCTGAAATGTAAGCTTATACACCTAATTAGCTTAATGTTTGGTGTTGTAAAATATGAACTTAGCAGCCCCACTATCAAGTTCACATCTTTTCCCCACAGCAGTAGCTCAGTTGTCACAGACATCAAAACTTTGTTCCTTTGGGTAAGTGCTTTTACTATATAGTAGTAAACATACAGAGTATGAACAGCTGAATAAAAGAATAAAAAAGTAAGTAAAAAGTCATATTTTTCATTAACATATCTAAAAAGAAGCATGTTCTGTTGACAGCGAGTGAATTACTGGCTGGAGGGTCATACCCAAAGGGAAGTTATCTGGCTTAGTGCCGGAGATTAAGACCAGGAAAGTGGTCTGGATTGCATTTTATACAGGGTCAGTGTGGCAGGTGTCCTATTAGATGACATCATTAGAAACATGTCTATCGGAATTCTGGTTGTTAAGTAAGTTGATAAATCAGGAAATGTTTGGCACATACCCTTTGGTTTTTGAAATTGATGTCATGAGGACAAAAATTATTTTGTATAGAATGTCTTTTACTACCATGGCTATTTACTATTTTTTGAGGAGCCAGTGTGTTACGAGGTACTATACATATCTCATTTAGTACTTGCCATAACCCTGTGAGCAAATGTTACTTTATTTTATACCTGAGGAAACAGGCTCAAAAGTTAAGTGATCCACTCAGGGTCAGAACTAGGCATAGGACTCAGATCTGAATCTGAAGCTCATGTTCTTTTTCATTGTTTTGCCCCTTAGGACAATTAGTCCAACCACATATGGTGTTTTGAGCTTTTGTTTTTGTTTTTTAAAGATTTATCCATCTAATTCTTTAGAGAGAGAGAGTGGTGGGGAGGAGCAGAGGGAGAGAAGGTCCCAAGCGGCCTCCGTGCTGAGTGCAGAGCCCGACATGGGCTTGATCTCACGACCCTAAGGTCACCACCCTGAGATCACAATCTGAGACAAAACTGAGTCAGATGCTCAACCAACTGTGCCACCCAGGGACCTCACATGTGGTTGTTTTATATTCTTACGGCTTTATACTCTGATGACAATCAGAAAAAGCCATGAAAAATTGGACAGATGGGCATTAGGTTGTACAGTTTGGGAGCAGAAGGAACATGCGTTCAAGAAGAAATAAAATTGTGTAGGAATACAGTCCATTAAAATAGGTATCTAGGGGCACCTGGGTGGCTCAGTCGGTTAAACAGCTGTTTTTGGCTCAGGTCATGATTCCAGGGTCATAGGATCGAGCCCTGTGTCATGCTCCCTGCGCAGTAGGAAGCCTGCTTCTCTCTCTGCCCCTCCCTCCTGCTCTGCTCTCTCTCACTATCTCTCTCAAATAAAAAAAAAAAAAAAATAGGTATCTACATAAGAACAATATTACTAAGGAGAGCTTTCTTTTGTCTATTAAGGACCAAGAAGAAGGGCATAAAGCTTCCAGGTGGCTAAAATCTTAGCATAACTGGTATAAGCAAAAAAACAAATAATGAGGTGAATTTTAAATAAATAAAATTATTTTAAATAAATAATAAAGCTAATTGGAGAACTGTCAAGGTTTAAATTTAAAAAATTAAAAGGTTTTGGGGCGCCTGGGTGGCTCAGTTGTTAAGCATCTGCCTTCGGCTCAGGTCATGATCCCAGGGTCCTGGAATCAAGCCCCGTGTTGGGCTCCCTGCTCAGCAGGAAGCCTGCTTCTCCCTCTTTCATTCCCCCTGCTTGTGTTCCTGCTCTCGTTATCTCTCTGTCAAATAAATAAAATCTTAAAAAAAATAATAAAATAAATTAAAAGGTTTTAATAAAAGATTAAATAATTTTAGATAGGAAAAATTAATTGCAAATGCATATTTTGAAAGCACAGAGTTCTGACTTTAAAATTTAGGAAAGGGGCGCCTGGGTGGCTCAGTCGTTAAGCGTCTGCCTTTGGCTCAGGTCATGATCCCAGGGTCCTGGGATCGAGTCCCACATCCGGCTCCCTGCCCGGCGGGAGGCCTGTTTCTCTCTCTCCCACTCCCCCTGCTTGTGTTCCTGCTCTCGGTATCTCTGTCTCTGTCAAATAAATAAATAAAATCTTTAAAAAATAAATAAATAAATAAATAAATAAATAAATAAATAAATAAATAAATAAATAAAATTTAGGAAAAAGGCATTCAGGCCAATGGCAAGAAAACCTGCCTTAATGCTTCCTGTGACCCTTAGAATGTTAGACTAGAAAGAATATAAACTGGGGAATCAGACTTGGGTTCATTTTACCAACTGTCTACATTGAGCAGATTATTTAAACTGATACTTATTTTCTTCAACTATAAAACATGAAAAATAATGTCTGCCTTTTCTGGGTTTATGCCAAGGATTAAATTAGATTAAATTATGTTGTGAGTGTAAGTACCTGGCTCATGGTAGTTACTTAAATGCTTTTTTGGAAAGGACTGCAGGTGATAAGAGCTATAGATCAGATTAAAAAAAAAATTTTTTTTTTTTTTAATTTTTTAAGTAGGCTCCACACTCAGCATGGAGCCCAACACAGTGAGAGTTTGGATTTTTATTTTAAAGAGGCTTTCATTTCTTTGACACTTAAGTGATCTTTTAGTTTGCTTTTAACTAGAACATCCATGACTCCAAATATGTTGGATCCTGGCTATCCATGTATTACTCTATAATCACTATTTCTCTGTTCTTTTTTTTTTTTTTCCGAGAGAGAACACGAGCGGAGTTGGTGGGGGGGGGAACAGAGGGAGAAACAGACTCCCCACTGAGCAGGGAATCCGAGGTGGGGCTCAATCTCAGGACTCCAGGATCATGACCTGACCTGAAGGCAGACGCTTAACCAACTGAGCCACCCAGGCTCCCTTCTCTGTTCTTTTTTATTTATTTTCACCTTTTACTCCATTGTCGGTATGTTGATCTCCTGTTGTCTTTCTGTACATATGTTGGAGGAAGGGACAGATTTCAACACAATCATTATTTTTTACTAGCAGATTATGTGAAAGCCAGGTTCTGAAAGACTGGGTTTGAGCCCTGGCTTTGCTAGTTATTGTGAACTTGGGCGAGTTATTTAAACTGTCAGTCTTAGTTTTCTTATTTGTAAAATGGGTACAGCGGTAGTTTCTACTTCATAAAGTTATGATGAGTATTAAATTAGTGAAAATTTGTAAAGTTCTTGGTGTGGTACTTTGCACCTACCAAATGTGCAGTAAACCTTAGCTTAATATTTTAATGGTACTGATGATATAGATGGCTTTTAAGTCTATATTTTGAACCCTGTTCTCTCATCAAAACTAGTCTTTTTTTTTTTTTTAAAGATTTATTTATTTGTCAAAGAGAGCACAAGCAGGGGGAATGGTGGGCAGAGGGAGAAGCAGGCTCCCCACTGAGCAAGGAGTCTGATGTAGGACTCGATCCCAGGACCCCGGGATCATGACCTGAGACGAAGGCAGACGCTTAACCGACTGAGCCACCCAGGTGCCCCCAGAACTGTAGTATTTTATCTCTAACTGCCTACTAGACATTTTCTCTTATTCCTGACTGCATTAACTTAAACACAATCTAAAATCAAACCCTTCTTTCCACATGGAGATGGTCTTTTTTGTTGTGTATAGGTGATGTGGGTATAGATACAGAATAAATAAGCAACATTTGCTTCAGTTATCAAATACTTAGAAACACTTTGATATCTGAGCTAAAAGTTACAGATTCTGTTATCAGAATTCTGAGCAGAATATTTGCTGCTTCATGCCATGCTTTTTTTTTTTTAAACTTGAAAACTATTTCATTTGATATGGAGGACCTCAACTAAATAAGCGTCCAAAGGAGGGGAATAGACTATTAATGCCCAGCAGGAATTCAGGAACACAGTAAATGCCTTTCTTTTATCTGTTCTGTATCTTCCTGTTCATAGGTTCTCACATGGAATCCCAAGAGGACAGCTGTTGGTTTGTCATATTTTACAGGCCTAGTGCCCTTTAATAAACTGGTTATGTGTTATATGTTGACGCTAGGACACAAAATTGGCACTCATTAAGTAGCTCTTAAGTAAATAAATTAAAAGAAGTACAAGATATAAGATACATGGTCCCTGCTAGTAAGAGTTTATAAATGAAGTAGGGATGATAATTCCTGAAGCCAGTTAAATAAAAATCTATAAACTCCATTATATAGTGACATGTCAGGATAAGAGGAACAAATAATAAATTGTGTAGACATTCAGTAAGTGGAGGAAAAGGCTTTTGGAGTTGACGGGCTTGAGCTAGCCCTTGTATGTGTGCTACTAGAAGATTTCTGGTCTGAAGACGTATAAAAACTTCCCCTTTGATACTATAATAGTTCTGCCCCCCTCAGGATCAGACTGCTTCTTGCTTTTGCTTTAAAAGAGATTAGATTCTAGCAGTCCATTATGTAAGCCAAGAAAGACCATTTTTATGTGAAGGTGCACTTTCATTGAACTTGGCTCTCTCTATCGTATTATAGTTAGTTGTTTATATCTGTCTCTACATAGTTTCCATATGGGAGGCACCCCGTAGATGTTTGTTGAATAAACAAGAGTGTAAGCTCCTAATGGGTAAGAATGTGTTATTTTTGTTTCCTCATGTTCACTGAAGCGAATTGAGATTGGTGAAGTTTCTTGAGATTGGTTCTTGGAAAATCAGTCCTCCCTGATTCTGTTGCTGCAGTTTAGCTCACCACACAACAGGTGCTTGAGTATTCACCTTCCTCCAGTCCAGCGAAGTTATATTTTGATGACTTCCCTTTTGACCTGGTCTAGTACTTGTAGACCAGGTCTAATACAAAGATTGATCTATAGGCAACAGCTGAAGAGTGAAAATGATCACTTCTGTGAAGACAGGTACACACTCATGCACCAATTCCCTTGTCTGAGTAATGTTTAAATGAATACTTCTCCCAAAGTCATCAACTTGCCCCGTAACACAGCTCTTCCTGGAGCACAAGTAGGAGCTCCCTGTAGAAGATCTTTGCCCTTCTTACTCTCCAGGCCTTCCCTAATGTCTTCTAAGAATTTACTTTCTCTCTCCATTAACTGTTAGTTAAGAGAAAAAGTGTCTTTGTGTAGTGTCTGGGGATAAATCTCCACATCCCATTTCCTTCTCTGTGAGCAGGATTTCCAATTTCCAAGCCTGATGGGATCTCCCAGCGGGAACAAGATCTACAGGTCTTTGATCTGGAAACTAAGAATAGAGAAGTCTTAAGAGATGACTGCTCAGGTGAGTAAGGTAGAATCAATCAGATGGAATTAGTAGGGAAGTAGAGTCAAGTTGTTGAGCCAAATTGTAGCTGCTTTGGCAGTCAGAATGAAGAGCTCGGTCTATATACTAGATGGCGAGCTCCTTCCTTTTCCCTTCAGTTTTGATGAATTCTTTGCATTTACTTTATCCCTTATCCACAAGTTGTACTGGGTCCCTGTTCAAGTTGCTTATCTATAATTCTTTTGAACTACTTCCCTATTACCTGCTTTGAAACACCTTAATTGGTTATCTTCTTTGCCAAAAACATCCTCTGTTTCTACCACACCCTGAACCATTTGTATATTACCTCACTGCTCCTATTCATGCCCTTGCATCTGCTGTCGAGATTTTGTGCGTGTGCTTCAGAGTAAATAAACTCTCATTTTAGTAGATTCTAGATTAGTTTTCTCCTCTCTGAGGTTTTTTTTTTTTCCCCCTAAGCACAGGGTACAGATTACATTTGCATTTTCTATTTATATATTGAATCAGATGGAGAGACGAGAGAAGAGAACAAGCTGTTGATTCCTAAGCAGGAAATTTTGGAAGAAGTACATTCATACAAAGTGAGAGTAGGAAGACTCAAAAAGGATATTGCCCAAGTTCCTGGGACTAGAGAAGTGTCTAAACCTGAGGACAGATTAGAAAGGCTTCAGGAAATCCTAAGGAAATTTCTCTTCCTGGAGAGAGAGTTTAGGCAGATAACAATCAGCAAGAAAGCCTTCACCAGTGACAGTGAATGTAATGAACCTGAAAAAAGCTTCAGTCCGGACTCTACCCTTGATACAGATCAGAGAGTTCTTAGAATACAGAATATTGATGATACTGATAAGTATGACATGGGTGTGAACCAGAATTCAGCTGCTGGTAAACAAGAACAAATAAATCTCATACAGGATGTTCAGAGTAGTGAATATAAGGAAAGCTTAATGGATCTCTCCCACCTTAGTAAATGTGACAGCATTCCTGCCACAGAGAAATCCTATAAATGTGATGCATGTGAGAAAGTCTTCCATCAGAGCTCTGCCCTTTCTAGACATCAGAGAATTCATACTAGAGAGAAACCCTACAAATGTAAAGAATGTGAAAAATCTTTCAGTCAGAGTTCAAGTCTTAGTCGACATAAAAGAATACACACTAGAGAAAAACCCTATAAATGTGAAGCATCTGATAAATCCTGTGAAGCATCTGATAAATCCTGTAGTCAGAGCTCAGACATAACTCCACATAAGAGGATTCACACTAGAGCAAAGTCTTACAAATGTAGTAATTGTGAAAGGGTTTTCAGTCGCAGTGTACATCTTACTCAACATCAGAAGATTCACAGAGAGATGCCCTGTAAGTGTACTGTATGTGGCAGTGACTTCCATCATACCTCACACCTTGCCGAACATCAGAAAGTCCACTGTGAAGAGAAAGCCTATGAATACAATGATTGTGGGTTGACCTTTATGAAACATCAAGGAATTCATCTCAGAGAAAAGCCCTATACGTGTAATGAATGTGGAAAGGACTTCAGATTGAATTCCCATCTTATTCAGCATCAAAGAATTCACACAGGAGAGAAACCACATGAATGTAATGACTGTGGAAAAGCTTTTGGTCAAACGTCATGCCTTATTCAGCATCACAAAGTTCATGGGAAAGAGAAGTCCTATGAGTGTAATGATTATGAGGAAAGTTTCAATCATAGCTCAGATCTTGTTCTTCAGCAAGAAGTCCTCACCAGAGAAAAAGCCTTTGACTGTGATGCATGGGAAAAGAACCTCAGTCAGACAGCACACCTTGGTCAACATCAAAGAATTCATACCAAAGAGAAACCTTATGAATGTGACGAACGTGGGGAGACGTTTAGTCAAATTCAGGCCTCATTCAACATCTGAGAGTTCACACCAGGGAGAAATTATATATGTACTGAAGGTGGTGAAGCCTTCAGTCATAGCTCAACCTTATTCAGCATCAGAGAATCTACACCAGAGAGAAACTCTCTGAATGTGATGAATGTAGGAAAACTATTTGTCAGTGTTAAACTTCATCGACATTTGCGAACCCATACCAATGAGAAAATCTATGAATACATTGAATGTGGTAAATGCTTCATGCTATTTTCATACCTTAGTCACCATTGGAGAATTCTTACTGGAATAAAATTCCATCACTGTAATAAATGTGAAATAGCCTTCAGTCAAAGAAACTACCTTGTTCAGCATCAAATTCATTCCATGCAGAAAGCCTGTGAATGTAATAAGCATGTATGCGCATGGGAGGATTCAGTCATATTCCACCCCTTATTCAACGTCAAAGAATCCGTGCCCAGGAGAAGCCATTCAAGTGTAGCAAAGGTGACAAATCTTTCAGTGGGAGTTCAAGTCTTTTTCATCATTAGAATCTCCACACCAGACCAGAATCTGATACAATGCAAATGGAAAAAATGTACCTCTACATTTCAGGCTTTACTCAACATCAAAATACTGGAGAGAAATTTTTATATAAAATTGTTAGCCCTGATTTTTTCATTGCAGAAGAAGATAGTCTGAGGAGTGATTTGGTGAATGCAATGCTGTTTCCTCATGGTATTCTTTTATTTAATAGGTGGTGTAGGTAGGTATATAAACTTTATTTATGGAGCTCATTTAAACTATTTTTTAAAATATGGCCTATGAACATTTTTATTTTTCCTGAAATTTGGTTCCTGTTACAGCTTCTCTAAGATATTGTTAATACACCCATGTAAAAACATAATTAACTTCTGGAAAGTAGCTCATTTAGATTTTTCTGCTGTTCTCAGCCCAAGTTCTCTCCAAAACAGACTCTTAGGTCTGCTGTTTTCTGAGCATCCTACTTTCCTGTTGCTTTCCAGCCACAACACTTGGATTCCTGTTAATTTCTCCATTTTCTTAGTACCTTCAAATGATGGTTTTCTAGTTTTAAGCTTCTCACCAGCAGGTTTGCCATCCCTACTTGATGTTCGTGTTCTGGTGTCTTCTTTCCTAAAGTGAAGCATCTACCTTTAAAAAGAATTGGATTTCCACATCCTGTCCATCCATGAGTTTGAAGGATTCCATCTCTACTGCGTTTGCGGCAGGCAGCTAAACATTTTCAAATGACACCCCACCCAATAGCTGTCTTGTCTGCATCCCACAGCCCTCTAAAAGAGATAAGGACGTCAGGGAGCCAACAAGACTCCTGATGGTCTAACTACATTCATTCAGCGCCTGTTCTGCATGTCAGAGTTTAGAATTATTTTATATACTTCCTGTTGAAGGACAGCAAAATGCTCAGGTCTGCTTTTGATAGGGCAAAATATAAAGAACATACACAGAAAAGTCAGAGAACTTCATAAGGGAATGCAGCTTTTCAAAAAAGATACTGCTGTTCTTCTGTAATCTCTCTGGAGAGAGTATTTTAAGAGAGTGGCAGGTCTTCCTGGTAAAATTTTAACTACTATGATTGCTTCTTTATTTGTTTGGATTTTTGCGCCCCCCCCCCCATCAATCCAGGACAGTATTTGAAGTGTGGGGGCTTTGTGTATAATTGTTTATTCGTCATCGCATTTTCTGTATTTTACAAGAGTCTACAGGCCATATAAAAGAACTTGGTTTTTTGATTGATAAAAGTGATCACAGATGTCAGGATGTCCAGAGTTCAGGGTCACTGTAAACACCTAGCCAAGAATTCATGATTCTTTAGATGTTGTCAAAGCATTTTATTATATTTTTCCATCTTAAGTTTCATAATATTTTGTGAATAAGACAGGTGTTAACTTAAAATTCTTATTGTCATTCCAGCAAGTGAGGCCTTCATAGTTCAGATGTTATAATATTCACTAGGGATTCTCAACAAATATATAACAATTTACTGCTTATTCTGTAATCCTCTTATGGCTAAGCTCTAAGATCGTTCTACCACCGTATTTTGCCTCTTAGCCATCAGCAAGCATAGGATCTTATCAGGGCAAAGTAGAGATCTAAATGAATTGATTTAAATGTAAAAGCAAATGAAAAATGCATGTTTTTTTTCCATTGTTTATGAATGTGTATGCCCTTATGTACAGAGACCAATGGTCACTTCTGGTGATTATGAAACAGATTAATCCCTAAATAGCAGAATATGTAAAAATCACATGTATGCATTTGGTTTAGGAATGTGCTTTTGTACTTCCACTTGAATAAAGGTGTGTTTGATACTCAGAATCTGTTTCAAAAAATATCTAAAGGCCTCAATCAGAAGCATTTGGAAATCTTGGAATCACCTTCCTGGCTGCGACTCAGTTCCTTCCAGAAACCTGCTTCACAACAGGAGTGGATCAGTCTCCTTCACACTGATACAAAGCTTGCTCTTCCACAGACTTGGGGAACAAAGTCTGAATGTTTAGGGTTTTAAGGATTATTCAATTGGGATGTTGTTGGCACATAAATAGTTTGAGGTTTCAGTAGGACTAGGCAGAATGTGTGGTGTTTTTTTTTTTAATAAGTAAAACACATTTTAAAAAATGAGAAACCAAAATAATCCTGGAGGACAATGTCTCTTTAAACTTGCAATATTTAATCAGTCCAATGTAATGTGAGTTTGTGTTTTTAGTGTTTTAATCTTGAAGATTAAAGGGGAGGGAAGAGAAGAAATCTAATAGTTGAGGTACACCAAATATCCACCTACCTACATGCATATGTATGTTCATATTCAAACTTAATCCTCACACCTCTGCAAGGGAACTAGCTCTGTTTTACAAAGGAACTGAGGTGTAGAGAGGTTGAAGAATCTGTTAGGGTCACTCAGCAAGTTAATGGCTCAAGTCCGGCCTGACTCCCAGGCTTTCCATCATCATGATGTTGATATTAGACACATCCCAGAACCCAGAGAAGTTTTCTTTGATAGCTCTTCACTCCCTGTTACATCCTCAGTGGTTGACTATTACCAGTTTACAATTAATCTGAATGCTCCCAGAGCTGTCTGGGGTACTAGGAGAAAATATCCCAGTATCTTTTGGGAGCTGATCAGAGATCCTGCTCCCTGAAACAGGCTTAGATGATTTTGACAATGACAGGCCACAGGTCAGAGCTCCCAAATTCTTAACTCTTGTCAAGCTATCCCAGCTCCCATTACTAGATTTACATTTCCATTTCTCAATGCCCAGAATGTGCTCTTTTTCCCTGCTAACTGGAACTTGCTGATTGATGGACATGTATTAGATTTCCTGTCACTTCTGACTGAATTACAGCATTGGAGCAAGGTGGGTAATGGGAAAATCAAGTTTGATTGCTAGGTTTTTGACGAGCAAAAGTGTGGATAGATGTAGACTGGAGAGATGGGGACCACTGGAAGAGGAGCAGGGAGAGTATTTCAAGCAAAAGAGCATATCAGAAGGCCTTCAGATGAAAGAGTTTGGCATCTTCAAGGTAAGAAGCTCTCTGGAGGAATGCATTACCCTAGGAAGTAGTATGTGGGCAACTGAGGAAGTAAGAATGAAGTTGAAAGGAGGCCCCTCAGGTGTCATAACGGCAAAGCACAATGGAATTCCCACCTCTGAAAATGTGACCTCATCCATTCATTCATTCAGTAGTACAGTTGCCAGATGTGATGATGTTCAGTGCTAGCCTGTGGGCACAGTTAACATAAACCATCAATATTAAGTGATGAAGACAAACAGATTAGAGTAGTTGTCACAGCAATGACTGGAATTGGACATACCTGTTTGAACTTTGCTATTTACTAGCTGTGTGACTTTGGGCATGTTAGCCTCTCTAGTTTCCTTGTCTATATGATGGTTAATAATAGCATGAAAATTAAATGAGGTAATGTAAAAGGTACTGGTTATATCTTAAGTGCCAAAAAGTTACGAACATAAACACCAATATAAAAACCAGTGAGAATGTGTTTAGCATAAAATCTAAAAAAGAGGGAATTGAGCAAGCATTTAGCAGTGCAGGACTAGCATTGTCCAGGGAGGAATATTCTGGTTTTGGAGAACTTAAATATGAATTGAGAGGTCATCAGGAATCCTAGACTGTGGTAGGAACTGCCTCCCCATAGGCACTCCTTACTGGAGTCAGCAAGCCTTGACATCTGTCTTTTCTTGCTAACATTTGTATCCTATGGCATCACATCTGACACTCCCTTCAAAATACGGGCACATGAACGAATCTTTAATCTGAGACTGGGAGGATAATTTCAAACAGCGTACTGTACAAGTCAATGAGAAAATAAATACTGGAATTTTTCATTTTGCTGATGCATCCCATTCACACCCTTCACTTTTAGAAAATAGTTAACCTCATATTTGTATCCCATTCATGTTTATAAATTTACAACTTGGGCATAATGACAGTATCTGTCTTTTTCTTTCCCACACTTGATCCTATTACAAATCTCCACCTGGTCTAACCTTTGTCCTCCCCCCAGGTGCAGTTTGACTCCAAGCTCTGGTTTGAACTGGCCAGCGTTCTAAAGGCTGCCTTTACTTGCTCACTGAGTCTGCAGTTTTTGGCACCTACAATTTTGAAAAAGAATGAACTTAATGAGATTGTTGTGAAAATTAATGAGATAATGCCAGTTTACTCCAAAACTGGTAACTGTTTCTGAGTTTAGCAGGAACCCCTCCCACCCCCCCATCACGAACAACTCATTTCCCTAACATTTTTCCTGCTTCAACGTATCAAAGCTATCTCTGGCAAACTCATCCAGGCACAGTAGAGTGTTTGAAATCTTGACCCTATTTCTAAGGCTTTTCTTCCTCTTTTAGCCCATTGGTACCAATGTGACTCCTGCTTACTTACATACTCAGGCACAATTGGGAGGCAATGGAGTAATGGAGCGGAAACACCAGTCGGGTTGAAGCAACCTAGGGAGAGGACAGGCTGGACTGTAGGCATAGATAAGGGATTCGGGTCCAGCAGAGTCATCCCCGCTTTGTGGTTTGCAAGGAGGGAGGTGGGGATGGGTGGTAAAACGGCAGGGGTCAAGGGAGGCGGCAAATGAGGTGCACAGGGGACAGTGCGGGTGAGAAAGAAGGGAACAACCAATTTAGATCCCAGGTCCACGTGGGCGATGAAGGGCAGATAGAGAAATCTAGCCCCATCCTCCCTCAATGCCTCCTTGGGTAAGGACGAACGCCAAAGGGGGCGCCATCCCAACGCGGTTCTGGGCCCAGCTCCCCAGCCGCCCTGCAGAACCCGCGATCGAGAGGAGACCTCCGAGCTGCCTAGACGGGACCCGGAAGTGCGCGCCGGGGAGCCCGAGTTTCCAGTCGGGCCCGGGGACCGAGGGCGCCGCCGCTGCGGGGCGGCTGCGCGAGTGAGTATCAGGGCCCCGGACTGGGGGCTGCGGGTCCGCCCTCCGCGGCGGAGAGAAGCGCGGGCTGAGACGGGGGTGGGCGGTGGGGGGCTCGGGCCGAGGGGGCGCCGGGGCGTGGGGCTGGCGCCGCAGGCCTGACCGCGCCCCCGCGCCGGGGCCCACCCAGCCCGGGGACAGTGAGTGGGAGCCTCTCCTGGAAAAGCTTCCCTTGCCGTTTCCCCCACATCTGCCCTCCTCTCCCTCCCTCTCCCGCAGCGACTGCCCGTCCGTGGTGCCGCGCTCTGAAGAAGTTTTAGAGGAGGTCTTGTCTTTGGGAGCCCCAGCCCTGGGGGTTGGATCCAGCCCATGGAGAAGCCGCCTGAGCAGATAACCCCGGAGTCCCTGTCCCCATCCTCCAAGCAGGAGCCCCGAAAGAGCAAGGGTGAGGAGCTGACCTAGCTGGCTTTCTTTGTCTAAACTTTGTCCTTCCAGCCGCGCGGCCTCGGATCAGATGGACACGACTAACTTTACACTTAGAATTGTCCTGGTGAAAAACTACTTTTTTTTTTTTTTTTTTTTGTCCCAAGGCTCTCTTACATGTAAATAAAGCCTGTAACCAACGTTTCCTCTCGACTGTGTGGAGCAGACCTGCAGCACGGTAGTATCCTAGCACTAAGTCTAGGAGGATCTGTCATTCCAGCACCTGCCAACTTGCTTGGCCTTTGGAGAAGCTCAGTGAATGTGTGAATAAATGAATGAATGAACTCAGCCAAGAATGTCCCGTACCTCAAGTGCCAGGAAAAGAGCGGGCTCCTCCACTCATCCTGCCCAAGCTCTCCTTCATCCTTAGGGAGGATACATTTACCACCCCAGGTATAAACTCCAAGCTGGTGCCTTGCCTGTGAAGTACAGTAGATAAGCCAGCCACCTGCTGATGGAAAATGAGGTTAAACTATTAGTATCAACGTTTTTTCCTTAGATATCAGCATTTTTGTTTCAGTCTGCCATCCCACCATTATGTATGTCTGGCCCCTAAAAAAATGGACTTGGCTTATTTAATTGGGTGACAAAGGCTTAGATAATCCACATCATGGACTCTGAGATGGCTTCTATTTGGGGAGATTTTCTTTTACACATTTATGTGTAAAAACCATGTTTTCAGACTAATTTTTGACTTGACAGGTATTTATTGAGCTGTTAGTATGAGGTGTTGAGACTAAGTTGAAAGAAAACCTAACCCCTACTCACCCAAAACTTAAGAGTTGAGTTGGAATAGTTACCTGTGAGAGGCTATGGACAGTAAACTATGTAGAAGTTTACAAGAGGAGATCCCTGTGAACTGGGTTTTGGCCCAGGAAGTCTTAGAAAGTCACAAGTTTGGCCTTGAAAGAATTTAGAGTAAGAAAGGAATCAAGTTGGCCTTTCTTTCTTTCAACAATACTATTGTTATATTTATTTAGAGAGAGCGAGTGAGCCAGTGGAGGGGCAGAGGGAGAGGGAGAGAATCCTAAGCAGGCTCCCTGCCCAGCAAGGAACCCGGCATGGGGCTCGATCTCATGACCCTGAGATCATGACCTGAGCTGAAATCAAGAGTCAGACGCTTATCTGACCAAGCCACCCAGGTGCCCCAGAAAGGAGTCAAGTTTTGGGCGCCTGGGTGGCTCAGTTGGTTAAGCGACTGCCTTCGGCTCGGGTCATGATCCCAGGGTCCTGGGATCGAGTCCCACATCGGGCTCTCGGCTCAGCAGGAAGCCTGCTTCTCCCTCTCCCACTCCCCCTGCTTGTGTTCCTGCTCTCGCTGTCTCTGTCAAATAAATAAATAAAAATCTAAAAAAAAAAAAAAAAGAAAGGAGTCAAGTTTTAAATGAGAGGGGATAGATGCTTACCATAGGCTCCCAGTTGCTAGTCTTTCTAAAAGGCCAAGTGCCTGTACTCACCTTCCTAAAACACTCACTCACTCATGTTGGTTCACAGTGCCCACTGCATTCAGCCCAGACTCCATAACCTGGCATCCAGGGTCCTCAGCAGTGTGGCCTCAACCCACCTTGAAAGTCGTTCCTTCGTGTGCCCCAAAACAAACCAGCAAGACTGGTGTGTCTGCACAAAGTAATGCCAAAGACCCTGCACTCTCCACCGTTGTGTCTTTGTGTCCTTTTTCTCATACATTACTGTCCCCTATATTCTCTGCCTATCCAAACACTACACATCCCAGCATCCTGCACAGGGCAGTCTCCTAGGTGAAATTTCTGAAACAGACTTGGACTGTGAGGAAGGAAACAAACAGATGCAAGAGACATTTACACGAAAACCTGAGGACTTGGTGGTTGATTGAGCATTAGGGGGAAATTGGGTACGATCGCCCTTGTTCCCTTCACTGTCATACCTCTTAAAAAAAAAATCACTAGTTGCTATTGCTTTTGTAACGCAGGGCACCGCTTCTGCTCCATCAGAACTGATGATATCCAAGTTGCCAATGGCTTAGCTAATGAAGCCACTGGACACATTTTTTTCAGCTTTAATTTTTTGACCCCTTCCTATTTTTTGTCGATGTGATCACTCTTCCTCGCACCTCTTGTTCTTTGGTTTTGGAAGCACCGTTTTCTTCTGGTCTTCCTCTTGCCTTCTCTGGGCCTTCCCCACTCCTGTTTCTCCATCTGTTTTTAAACATTAATTTTTCCGCAAGACCGTTCTTAACCCTCTTTTTTTCACTCCTGTGGGTGATCCTATCCCCTTCCAGGACTTCTCTTAACCGCTATCTGCTGCTCTTGCTGCCTTCTGGGTCCTGAAAACTAGATGTTCATGGGTGTACCTCGGAGCTCCTTGTTTTCTGTCAGGCCCACACCTCCCTACCTTCCAGTGACTGCCTTGGTTAATTTTATTTTTTTAATTTTTATTTTTTTAAAAGATTTTATTTATTTATTTGACAGAGAGAGACACAGCGAGAGAGGGAACACAAGCAGGGGGAGTAGGAGTGGGAGAAGCAGGCTTCCCCGCAGAGCAGGGAGCCCGATGCGGGGCTCGATCCCAGGACTCTGGAATCATGACCTGAGCCGAAGGCAGACACTTAATGACTGAGCCACCCAGGTGCCCCTGCCTTGGTTAATTTTAGTGACTGATTTTCCCAAGCTAGAAAACTTGGATTTGTACTGTACTATTCTCCTTCCCTCCGTATTCAGTCAGCCACCAAATCTGTCAGTTTCTCTTCAGAGAGGCCTGATTCTGTTGCCTGTGATTGCCATTTCCTCATTTTAGACCCATTCTAGTTTTCTTGGGTTGTTGACACATCCCTATGCTATTGGTCATGTACCCTACTCTAGGCTATCCTCCATTCTGCTGCCAGAATGAATTTCCCTAGGAACAAATTTGATCATGTCAGTCTCTGTCCAAAGCCCTGGGTGTGGTATATATGCCTCTTCATATCTGGCTCTGCTCTATTTTTCTTTTTCTTTCTTTTTTTTTTGAGAGAACTAGAAAGCGTGAGCAGAGGCAGGGGCAGAGGGAGAGAATCCGAAGCAGACTCCATGCTCAGCGAAGAGCCCGATGTGGGGCTCAATCTCAGGACCCCAAGATCATGACCTGAGCCGAAATCGAGAGTCGGACACTCGACTGATTTAGCCACCCAGGTGCCCCGTCTGGCTGTACTCTTATTTTTTTCTGCTATATCTCCTGCTGCCTGCCCACATGGGGCATACATTTCACTCACATGGAGTTTTTGTTTTTGTGTGTGTTTGTTTGTTTGTTTCCTATTCCTTGAACTTAGTGTTCCCTTCTATGTTGCTGAGCCTTAGCAGATGTGATTACTTTTGTCCGGAATACTCTTCACTTTGTTGATCCTGATCATAGTTCAAGATCCAGCTCAACATCATTCTCTGAGGCTACCATCTCCAGTCACCTAGGTAGGGGTTGTCCTTCCTAATTGCGCTTTGAAGCACCATTATAATCCCTCCACCGGTATCTGGCACGTAGTAGGTGGTATGTACGTTTCCTGATTGGTTAAATCAAACAGGGAGTGTATTTGTCTCCTAGGGCTTCTGTAACGAATTAGCACAGCTTCATAGCTTAATACAGCGGAACTGTATTCTCTCGGTTTTGGAAGCTAGAAGTCCACGAGGGCTGTGCTACCTCTGAAACCTCTAGGGAAGAATCCCTCCTTGGCTGTTGCCAGCTTCTGGTGGTCCCCAGCAATCCTTGGTGCTCCTTGGCTTAAGGCTGCATCACTTAGTCAGTGTCTCCATTGTCACGTGGCCTTCTTTCCTGTGTGTTTCCATGTCTGAATCTTCCTCTCCTTTCTCTTATATAGATGGCAGTCATTGGATTTAGGACCCACCCTAATCCATTATGACCTCGTCTTAACTCTGCGAAGACTCTGCTTCCAAACGAGGTCATATTCTGAGGTTCCAGGTGGACATGAATTAGTGGGGGTGGGGCAGGGAAACGACACCGTTGGACCCAGTACAATAAGTATTGCTCATTTCTTCTGCTGTTAGAAGTAAATATACTTGGGATCCCACGGCTTTGTAGTTAAACAAACTTGAAGAACTGCATAGATTTTTTTACCCCTTCCCTTTAAATTAGAAGCAGATCAGCGAGGAAACTTTTTTTTTAAACCTTTGTCCACGGGAACACATTTGCTTTGCTTATTTCAGGGGGCAACTGCTCTCTTCTTGGGCTGCTCGAGCTCTGTCTCAGAGCAGCCACTGTCTGCTGAGGCATTCCAGAGGGTCCTGCTCTCTACCAGAGTTTGAATCCACGTTTTTGGTATTTTTTCTCTAAGTGGCTCTGACCCATGAGGAGATATACCTCTCTGAATTCTATTTGAGCCTCAGTCCTGAAGACTTTTTATAAATGGTCTATTTGGGACCCTCAGTGACTTACAGATTCTTCTCTTGATTGCTGGGAAATAATCAGGAGTATTTTGAAGTACTGAATGTGCGCAGGGTTCTTTACATAGCACTGGGCTTGGAGACAAAGAAATGGAAGACATCTTTTAAAATAGAGATGCTTTCAGCATAAATTGAAGGGAACACACACACAACTAAAAATACTTTTGAGGAGAGGCCCAAAGACAATGTGGTTAAATGCCATGAAGGAGACAGGAAGCGAATGCTTTAGAGATTTAAAGGAGAGCTTACTTCCAGCTGGGATTAGAGTGGGGTTAGGTTTCAGGAAGGAGGCTGCCTTGAGCTGGGTCTGGAAGGTTGAATAGGATTTTGATAGGTGGAAGAGAAGTACATGTGTGGGGATATACATGTTCAGGAAACTGTTCACATTGACTGGAGTATAGAGAAGATGTGATAGAAGATGAGTCTGTGAGGCAGAGTGGAGTAAGACTGTGCGAAAGGAATGCCAGGCAAAGAGCTTAGCTTTTGTTTGGCAGATATTGAAGTATGTTATGTTAGCTTTTCTTAATAGGCGGCTAGCCGGTGAGCGTTGTATATCAAGGGAGAGAATCTGATTTGTTGAGTGTGGTATGGGAGGTGAGGTGATTAGGATCTGACTTTAGGACGTTCCTAGTGATAATAGGAAGGTAGGGACAAAAAACCAAGAAGTGTGTTGTAGGTAGAAGCAATAGTACTTGTTTACTGGGTGGATGTGGGGGCAGAGAAAGGAGTCACTGCTCGTTGTCACCCCTTCCTTTTTTATTTTGAAAAATGCTAAAGCTACCGGAGAGTTGCAAGAACAGTATAACAAATACTCATATGCCAGAAGGAGGAGCACGTTTGAGACATACTGATCTCAAGAGACTGGTATGAGAGCCATGTAGAAATGTCTTTTTAGATTACTGAAGATGCTGTAGCCTGTTATAAATATCGCCCATTTCAGGAGATGGGGACACAATCCCTCCAGCTACTCAACCCAGAGAGAAAACTTTATTCTCTCATATTCATACCCATCAATCAGTAATCTTATCCACACGACCATCAACATTTTTTTCCAGAATCCCAGTACTTCTTACCACCTCTGCCACCATCTTGGTCCAGGGTGCTATCATCCCTCACCTGGATTATTGCAGTAGCCTCCTGGCTGGTTGTCCTGCCTCTGCCATTGTCTCCCTATTGTCTCTTCCCAACATAGCCGGCAGCATGATCCTGTTAAAATGTCAGGTTTTGTCTTCCTCTGGTCATAAGCCTCCCATAGCTTCCTATCTCACTCAGTAAAAGCATACCTCTTACAGTAGCCTATCGGGTCCTGTGTTCTCTGAAAATGAGGTCTCTGACCTCATTTCTTACTATTCTTCCCCTTGCTCATTGCGTTCCAGTCATACTTGCCTCTTTGAACACCTAGGGCCTTTGCACTTGCTAATTCTTCTGTGTGTAATGCTCTTTCCCAGAAACCTTATCTCCTTCAAGTCTTTGCTTCAGTGTCATTTTCTTAGTCCTTCTTTGACCATGGGGTGTAAAATCACAACCCTTCTGCCCACCCCCTCCCTCTGACACTCTATGCTTCTTCCTTGCCTTTGTCTCTGTACCACTGTGTCAGCTAGTAGAATGTAATTTACGAGGTTTCCTGTCCAGCTCCCTTACTATAATGGAAGATCTTAGAGGGTGGAGTTTTTGCCTGTTTACCCCCTGATGTATCTCAGCACCTGGAACTGTATCTGGCATGTTGTTGGTGCTCAGTAAGATAAATGTGAATGAGTCAAGTGTCACAGGACTGGTAAAGAGAAGGATTCAAGAGTTACAGGAGAAGGATCACCTTAAGCTTAATGGAGAAAGTGATACTGAACAGGGCCTGAGAGCGGTAGGATTTACATTCTTGAAGATGTCAGGCAGGCTGTCAGTTCTCTGTCAGTGGGCCTATAAAAGGCTCGTCCTCTAGAACACTTAAGCCTTCAGAAGTTGGGAGAGAACAAATAGCATGGTCCAACAGAAAGGAGAAGAGGCTTCATGTAAGGGAGGAGATGGGAATGAGGCTGGAAAGACGGGCCAGGTCAGAAAAATGTAGAAGAAACCTTCGTTTTAGTATTTGCTCAAGCCAACCACAGAAGACATGTCTCCTGCTTCATAAATTATTCCAAATCCAAGTCCAAATGGAGGCATTCCCAGGCTATGGATCTTTCAATTTTTTTTAAAGATTTTATTTATTTTAGAGAAGAGAGAGCAGGGGGAGGGGCAGAGGGAGAGAGAGAATAGCAGACTCCAAGCTGAGTGTAGAACCCGACGGAGGGCTCAGTCTCACGACCCCGAGATCATGACCTGAACTGAAACCAAGAGTTGGAAGCTTAACTGACTGTGCCACCCAGGTGCCCCTGATCTTTTACTTTCTGAAGGGCTTCTAAGTTTAGGTGCCCCCAGGCTTGGGGGACAGATGTGGCAGATTTAGGAAGCTCTTGAGTTGTGCTGTCCAGTAGGGTAGCACCAGCCACATGCATTAATTAAATTGAAATTAATTAAATACAATTAAAAGTTCAGCTGCTCAGTTACACTGGCCACATTTCCAGTGCTCAGTAGCCACATGTGGTCATTGGCTACTGTATTGGATAGTGCAGATGTGGACCAGCTGTATAACCACAGAAAGTACTGTCGGACTGTGCATAGTGAGTGACTCGAATTTATAGTACCAGTTCATTGTGGTATCTTGCTAAAAAGAATTGGCTGCCTAGCTAATATTTAGACTTGATTGATGCCTTTATCACTTTTTTTTTTAGGTACCTAACTTTTTAGACCTAGTTGGTGTTCTCCAACTGTTTGCAATTTGTGTGACATATAAGAGAAACAGTTAAACACATGTGCAAGCGGATGTAAAACACTAAGCCAGTAATCACTCACACCTGATAGAATGGTTGTCGCCTAAAAGACAAGAAGTAACACATGTTGGCAAAAATGTAAACTGGTGAACTACCAATAGAACTACGTAAGATCTGTCAATTCCACTTCTGAGTATTTATCTGAAGGAAATGAAAGCACTGTCTCAAAAGATATCTGCACCCCTGTGTTCATTGCAGCATTATGTACTGTAGCCAAGACATGGAAACAGCCTAAGTGTCCATCGATGGATGAGTGGATAAAGCAGATGTGGTGTACATACAAATATACGTGAATATACACAGTGGAATGTTGTACAGCTGTAAAAAGAAGGAAATCCTGCCATTTTCGACAACACGGATGGACCTTGAGGGCATTACACTAAGTGAAATAAATCAGACAAAGACAAATACTGTGTGATCTCACTTATATGTGGAATCAAAAAAAAAAAAAAAAGGCAACTCAGGCACAGAAAACAGACTGGTGGTTGCCAGACATGGGGGGTTGGGAGTGGGGGAATTGGATGAAGGGGGTCAAAATGTAGAAACTTCCAGTTATAAGATAAATAATGTACAACCTGGCGATTTTAGCTGATAATGCCGTATTGTGTGTTTGAAAGAGAGAAGATCTTAAAAATTCTTATCACAAGGAAAAAATTATTAAAAACACAATATCTAAACTGAACATACAGAGGATGAGGACATATTTAGAGGTGGAGAATAGGTGTAAATATGGTTCTGTGATAAGATATCACAGACGATTATTAAATTCCTTAAAGAAAATGACCATTGACAAATAAAATCAAGGCTGTTTATTGTGTTAGGCTTTCACTGCTGCTAGAAATGCTGCATTGGCTATTTCTCAGCAGCCCCTCCTTTCATAAAGATCCCTCTTAGCAGAGGGCCTACTTTCTCTAATAATATCATTGCAAAACAATCTCTCTAGCATTAGTAAGCCGTATTTCAGTTAAGAGGAGAAATATATTAAACAGGAGATGTTTTCTATCCTGTCTCCCTTGAATGCAGGGTACAGGATTTGTTTTTGTATATTCTGTTAGAGTCAAAATCGACTTGGGAATATTTCTCTGTACCCTGTGCTTCATATTGTAAATAACTTTTCCTCCTCCCCCCTCTTCCTTTATCAAATCTTCCCCACTTGCAGTATTTCCAAAAGATGCATATGAGGTGTGAGTGTGTCTGTGGTCACGAGTGAGCATGTGAACATCTGAGTGTAGAGAGAGATACTCTGGTGAGGAAGGTGTTGGTCTCTGATTACATGAAGGGAATCTTCTCTGTTACCTCAGGGATGGTCATGTGGCCAGGGTGCTATGTGGGCAGAACCTCTGGGGGAAGGTTCTCCTCTTTATTCAGTCCCTGCCCCTCCCCACACATAGCCCCCAGCATCTCCCTTCTAAAGTTCTGAGATGACTCCACTTCCCTCAAACTCTGCTTCCCTTTTCTGCTAATCCCAGTATGTCTGTCTGGTTAGCCACTTCATATATAAACCTGAATTTTAGTTTCCCCACCACTTTCTCCAAATCTGTTCAACTTGTATCCGTCTTTTCCCTATATTGCAAGGCCATTTTTCATACTTTTTTGAACCACATACTTCCGGGATACTCTGATCATCCTGTTCCCCACCAGGAGTTTTTCTTGTTACATTTTACCTTTTTTATATTTTCTGTCAGATGGTGAGACCTGGACTGAGGATCAATTAATTATAAAGCAGAAAACTCTTGAAGTAGGGCTGCGACTACACGAAGGAGATGAATGTGAACAAAACAAAAGGGGCTCTGAATATGGACAAAGCTTTCATAACAGCACAAACTCTATCCAACAGCCACAAATTCTTAATTAAAGAGAAATCCCAAATGTGTAATATTTGTGGAAAATTACTCAGATGGAACTCATACCTTATTCAGCATGAAAGGATCTATACACAAGAGAAACCTTATGAGTGTCATGAATGTGGAAAAGCTTTTGGCCATAGTTCGAACCTTATTCAGCATCAAAGAATACATACTGAAGAGAAACGCTATGAATGTAGTCACTGTGGGAAAACCTTCCAGCACAGCTCACATCTTATCCAGCATCAGATAATTCATACAGGAGAGCTGCCTTATATGTGTAATGAATGTGGGAAAGCTTTTGGTCGGAGCTCAAGTCTTGTTCGACACCAGAGAATCCACATGAGGGAGAAACTCTATGCGTGTAGCGAGTGTGGGAAGGCCTTCAGCCAGAGCTCAAATCTAAGAGAACACCAGCGAGTTCACACCAAAGAGAGACCATATGAGGGCAATGACTGTGGGGAAACTTAGAGTCGTAACTCGCACCTCATTGAACACCAGAGAGCCCACACAGGGGAGACTCCTTATGATTGCAGCGAGTGTGGGAAATCTTTTAGTAGGAGTTCACTTCTTATTAAACACCACAGGATTCACACTGGAGAGAGACCCTGTGAATGTTGTGAATGTGGGAAGGCCTTCAGTCGGAACTCTCACCTTATTCAGCACCAGAAAACTCACACTGGAGTAAAGGCTTCTGAATACAAATAATGTGGGAAAACCTTCAAGTACAGTTCATACCTTTCCAATCATCTGGGAATCCACACAAGAGAGAAACTGAATGAAATGAAGGTGGTAGAGCCTTTGGTCAGAGTTCAGCTCTGATTGAATGTCAGAGAGCTTGCAATTGGGGAGAAACCCTTTGGGTTTTGTGAGGGTGGACGGCCTTCAGTGCTGGTTCAACTCTTATTAAAACCTGAAAATCCAGATAGTAGACAAATCTCATCGGTGTGTTCAATGCACAAAAACCTTTAGATGGGGCGCCTGGGTGGCTCAGATGGTTAAGCGTCTGCCTTCGGCTCAGGTCATGATCCCAGGGTCCTGGGATCGAGTCCCACATCGGGCTCCCTGCTCCTTGGGAGCCTGTTTCTCCCTCTGCTTCTCTCTCTCTCGCTCTCTCTCTCTCGTGAATAAATAAATAAAATCTTAAAAAAAAAAAAAAAACCTTTAGATGGAGTTTCAGCATCAGCAGATTCACTTTGGAGGAGAGTGTGTCAGAGAGGGGCATGAAAGGGACAGAATGCAGCATGACCAAGGTGATGGCTAAGCGGAACCTTCAGTTAGCACTATTGCTTATTTGATGTTGAAGATCTGCATCAGAGGGAGATTCTGTGGTTTGCTTTCCAAATCTTCATAGTTGTCCTCTGAAAATGGAATGAGTTAAGTCCATCCCAGGGAAGAAAGAATCAGGGAATTCTGGATTCAGACTTGTAGGTCAAGAAAGCATCAGGGTGACCTTTGAACCCAGTAACTCTGCTTCTATCTCATCTATTCCATTTGTTGTAACTATTAATGGAAGTGGCTCTTGGGTCTTAGACCAGCATTTCGCCCCTCAGTGTTCTGCAGACTATTGAATCTTTTTGTTTTATATGACATAAATGAACTTAATAAACGGGCAGATTTTCTAGACCAAACAGTTTCTCAGTATGACATGTTACGGGCTTTGTTATGTGTCAACTCGGCTGAACTGCATTTGCCGTAATTCCCTTTCCTGTATTTTTTGGTTCTTGTGGCCTAGAGGGAGATTCTTAGGAGACCAGGAGGGCGGAAGAAGAGCAGCAGTTACTGTATTTTGTGGCTCATTCATGTTGTTGCTAATCTGCTCACTCTGCTCACTAGGGAGACACAGCAGCTGGGCCTGCAACTGGTCTACCTTCCCCTGGATCCTCCTTTGCCTTTGCTGGGCTGTGTGTGTGTGTGTGTGTGTGTCCTCGTAGTTTTACTTCTCTGATTGAATCCTAGTCAAACGCATGCTTACTCTTCTTGTAACAAGTACACAGTTATTTTAAGTTGAGATAGAGAGAAATGGTTAATTTCTGGCTGTTTTTGGAAAAAAAAAAAAAACCTCAATGATTTTTAAGATTTCCTTTGAGAAAAAGCCACGGTTCAAACTCCTTTATAAGAAAAATTACATCATCACCCGAGGCAGAGCTTCATTACTGTGTAATTGTCGAGGAAAACGTTGAATAGCAAAGCAGTTGAATAGTGTGCTACATGATGGATAAAACTTTTTAAAAGATTTTTTATTTTGGGGGCGCCTGGGTGGCTCAGTCGGTTAAGCGACTGCCTTCGGCTCAGGTCATGATCCTGGAGTCCCGGGATCGAGTCCCACATCGGGCTCCCTGCTCGGCGGGGAGTCTGCTTCTCCCTCTGACCCTCCCCCCTCTCATGGTCTCTATCTCATTCTCTCAAATAAATAAATAAATAAAATCTTTAAAAAAAAAAAAAAGATTTTTTTATTTTTAAGAAATCTCTACACCCAGTGTGGGGTTCAAACTCACGACTCCAAGATCAAGAATCACACGCTCCACCAGCTAGCTGAGCCAGATAGGCACCCCCATAAAATTAAAAAAAAGAAAAACACCAAACTTTTGAGCACCCATTTACTATGAATATTTTAATCATTAAAAGACATTCCAAAAGTACCTCTACTGGGTAGTATATTGTTAGATCAGGTATCTGAGAGAAATTCCTACTTTGTTGTAAATGCACTTTTTTTGCCTTTTTTTTTTTTTTTTAAACGCAGGGGTCAAACTCATGACCCTGAGATCAAGACCTGAGCTGAGATCAAGAGTCGGATGCTTAACTGACTGAGCTACCAAGGCTCCCCAAGTAAAGGGTTATTTTTGGTTACAAAAAAAAAAGATTATTTTTCCTCCAGTTAGTTTGGGTTAATGATTATCTAAAATATCAGTGAAAATTATACTTACAATGTGGACTCTTAAAGTTGAAAATTGCCTGTCCCGTAGCCCCCAAGCCTGGTCTGGTGCTGTGCACACAGTAGGTATTGAGTGGATGGCCCTGGAATGAATCTGTTTACTAGACACGAAAATCTTGTCTCAGATCTCCTGTCTGCACTCCTCTACTTTTCTCCCTCTGTAATCGATAGGTGATTATCAGCACTCACTGAGGGTCACCTTGCTCTAAGGACCGCCTTACCATCTGGACGTCCCAAGTATGGACTCGCACTCTGTGAGGTCGGGTCTGAGCTCTGAGCCAGCGTGCCTGCTTACTCCACTCGACACACAACCCTCCTTGAGTCCCTCTCCACTCCCTTCACCACAGAAAGGGCCCTTTCCTTCTGTGGGGTCTTGAGAGGCTTCAGAGATGAGGCAGGCTTGACGAGTTGGGGTTGAAGGCTAGGCGGGATTCTGATTGGCAGAGAATAGCAGGGAGGGGCCTGTGTGCGGAGAAGGCAAGTGTGTGAGGTCACATGCCAGGCTCCAAAGGCAGAGGTGTCTGTGGAGACCAGGAAAGGGGAGAAAAGAGTTTGTCTAGCAGCATCAAAGGCACCGAAGCTGGGGTGTGTTGGATTTGGGGAGATGCCTGGCTGGCTCAGTCAGTAGAGCATGTGACTCTTGATCTCGGGGTTGTAAGTTCGAGCCCTGTGTTGGGTATAGAGATTAAGTAAAGAAATAAAATGTTTAAAAATAAAACAACCCACTGAAGTGGGGCTCTGGTTCTTTGGGCACAAGTATTACTAGTGGCCAGACAATTGACCAAGCTCTTAGATCTCAGGTAAACACAAGGGCAACCACTCAGCCCAGCTGTTGGCCAGGCCTTTCTCAGTCTTAGTACTGAAAGTCCCACGTCAGGAAATACTCAGTCCTGTGCAAACCAGGATGGCTGGTCACCTGACCCCATAGTAACCCCACCTCCCTGCCCCCTCATGGCTCCTAGCTGCAACAGGACCCAGTAGTGCAGGAATTCCTAACTTAGGTTGCATACTGGAATCACCTGGGGAGCTTTCAAAGTACTAATGCCTCAGTCCCAATCTCAGAGATTTTATGGTGTGGAGTCTGGCCTGGATATTGGGATTTTGCAAGTTCCCAGGTAATTCTAATGTGCACCCAAGGTTGAGAACCTATAAAATATACAGGTGCTGAGAGAAAGACACAAAAAGCCCGCATAGGATCTGTGGCATAGTCACTAAGGGCTAGCAAGAGGAAGGCGCTGGGAGTGGGGATTGCATCAGGGGCCCTATGCGAAAGTGGAGAGAGGGTGTCCCAGGTGGAAGGAGCTGTGGGAGGGGGCCAGCTATTGGATTCCCTGCGGGTAAGCTCGGTCTCGGGGTAGGTGGGGAGCAGGCACCTGCTCACTTCCCAGTTCTGTTACCTGGTAAAACTACAGTTTGGGTGACTTGGATTTTCCCTTTGGAGCTCTGGCCCAAGGAAGCACAGAGCCTAGGGGAAGTCAGAGCCCCAGCTCATGGGGACTCCACCCCATTTTCCAGCAGGCAGTTACTCTTCCCTTGCCTGCCTCTACCCTGGACCTGGGAAAATATGAAAATGCTTCCAGAGGAGGCTATAACCTAAACCTGTGCACACATTCTAAAATTTGCAGTCCTAGTCGGGGCTGGCCTGGTAGTCCCTAGCCACACTGTGTACACAGCCTTGGGACCCCTGAGTGAGAGGCATTTCCTGTGCTCTGCTTAAAGAGGTAGGAGTCTTTGCGCAAAGGGATGATAGGAGGAGGAAGAGGAATTTGGGCATTGGCACCCAAACGTGACTGCTTTAATCTCACCTCTCATAGAATAAAATTCTACAAGACCCTTCACGTCCCTGCTCTGCCCATTGATTTCTTCAGTCCTCTTGGGGCTACTCCTTCCAATCATTTTAAAATTCATTGTGTCCTTGAACAAAGTATTTTTCAAATGTAGGTAAAAACAACTAGTGGGTCATGAGATTAATTTATCATAGGGGTGCCTGGGTGGCTCAGTCCTTAAGCGTCTGCCTTTGGCTTAGGTCATGATCCCAGGGTCCTGGGATCGAGCCCCGCATCGGGCTCCCTGCTCAGCGGGGGGCCTGCTTCTCCCTCTCCCACTCCCCCTGCTTGTGTTCCCTCTCTCGCTGTGTCTCTCTCTGTCAAATAAATAAATAAAATCTTTAAAAAAAAAAAAAAGATGAATTTATCATAGTGAGTTGCAACCAGCACTGAGGGTAAAAGAAAAAAATAGGCAGGACCAGAGTGGGATAGGCATTATTTATGTGCATTGCACATAGCAGAGGTAAATGGGACTTTTCCGTGTGCATGTGCACACGTGTGTGTCATGTATAGTAGTTCTTGCTGTAGAGAGAGTAAAAACTTTTGCACAATGCAGTCCCCCTTTCGGGGATAAGATTCCGTCTAAATCCTGCTTCCTTGCAGGTCTTCCTTTGAACTGAATCGTACTCTGCAATCCTTGTAGCATGATATGCTTCTTTTGTGCACTGATCACGTTAAAAAAAAAAAAGATTTATTCAGTTACCTGTCTCTGTGCTAGATTGCAAGCTCCATGAGGGCAAGGACTGTATGCAGCAAACACCGTATCTGACATTCGAGAAAGCACTCAGATACTGTGTAGCTGAATGATACACCTGAGTTTAGGGTCCAGCTGTATGTGTGTGTGTGTGTATATATATATATATATATATATATTTTAAAGTTTACTTATTTATTTGAGGAGAGAGTGAAAGTGAGAGAACAGGAGTGGGAAGAGAGAAGCAGACTCCCGGCTGAGCAAGGAGGCGATGTGGGGCTTGATCCCAGGACCCTGAGATCATGACCTGAGCCAAAGGCAGATGCTTAACCGTCTGAGCCACCCAGGTGCCCCTATATGTTCTTAAACAATAATTTTATCTGAGAGATTTCAATATACCAAAAAGTTGAAAAATAGTATAAATGAACACCCTATATATCCCCTACTCAGATCAATAATTACTATTGTTTTCCCATATCTGCATTCTAGCCATATACTTTTTTTCTGAATTATTTGAAAGTGAGCTTCTCTAAGAGTAAGGTTGTTTTCCTACATAATTGCAACACTATTAACATATCTAAGAAAAAGAATTCAATTCCCTAATACCATCTAAAATGCAGTCCATATTCAGACTTTTATAGCTATTTTATTTTGAATCGGGGGGAAAATAATCAAGGGTCACATTACATTTGGCTTTATGTCCCTTTAGTTTCTTTCTTTCTTTCTTTTTTTTTTTTTTTGGTCCCTTTAGTTTCTTTTAATCTAGAGTAGTTCCTCTACTTTTTTTTTTTTTAATGACCTTGACTTTTGGAGGAGTTAAGAACAGTTATCCTTTAGTATTTTCCACAAAACTGATTTGTCTGTTTTCCTGTGGTGGTATTTAACTTCCTTCCCAACCCCTGCATTTCCTCTAAACTGGAACAAGGTTTAGTGGCTTAATTAATCATTTTTAGCAAGAATACCTCACATGTCCTGTCTCCATACTGTATCATCTCAGTAAGCAACTGACGTCAAATTATTCTACCCTAAGCAATGCTGTTTGTTCACCTGTTAAAGGTAGCGACTGCCAGATCTCTCCTATATAAAGGTGTTTTCCCTTTGCAATTAGTGAATTAGTAATTTTTAGGGATGATCAACTCTAGCACCGTGCAAATAATCTTTTCCTCTACAGGCTAATGTTTTTAGCAACCATCCATGATCTTTTGGGCAAGTTCTTAACCTGACACTCAGTTTTTTCATCTGCAATATGAGGATGATAATGCCTGTCATTTGGATTTACTATGTAATGATATCTAAAGTATTATATAACAGTGCATATGAAAATGCTGTCAGGGTCGGCTGTAATTTTCCCTTCTTCTGAGAACACCATCCCTTTTCCTTTAAGAAAGTTCTTATGTTGGTCCAGATAGGTGATCCAAATTGCTAGCTTCTCAATGACCTAATCCTAACCCCCTAAACCCTAACCCAACAGCTGACTTAACCTTTTCTGACCAGAGTGGAATGAGCATGTGACCCGAGCTGAGCTTATTAGAATGCTTCCCTGGGAAATCATGGACCAAGTAGGAGTGAGAATAGGGTGAGGAAAATATTCTTTTTCTCCAAGGCGGCTAAATATAGGGATGTGAGTCTGGAAACGGACTGTTTCCCCCATCCCCTGGAGAACGAAAGCCAACTGGGTGGAGGAGATTAAAGTTATCTGCCCCAGATCAAGGCAGAAAGTGTTCCAGGGGCATCTTCCTGGCCTAGCTCTGGTCCTGCCGGCTCAGCCAGTAGAGGCCCTCCCTGGCGAGCTTCTACAAATTGGGCCCTGAACCTGATGACAGAATCTCGGACAGTACAGGGGCCTGTCACATGCCTCTCCCAGGTGATTGGGTAAATCAGTGGTCCCTCCCACCTCATCCCTTCCTGTTGTTTTTCACTATGTCCAGGGCTAGTGGAAAGGTGGGAGGAAGTGCCAGAGATGGTACTGGCTTTTTAAAATCTTGAGTTACAGATGCATTTCCTTGGTGAGGGCAGACTCAAAGCCGGGTGGGGTGCGTGTGTGGGGTTAGGGTTAGGGTTGGGTGGGGACTGGTGGCTTATCCAGCTCCAAGTATGGCCACTCTGGCCCCTACCAGTCTCCCTAAGCTGGAGACCAGTCCTACCTCCACCCAGTGCCCTCTCTTTGAAGATTCTTCCCGCAGTTTAAAACCAGCCCGCGTGGTCAGAGGTGCCGCCAGCAGTCTTAGGGAAGCGCAGAGAAGGGGAGAGGGACGGACGATGAGGGAGGCCTGAGGGTGATCGGGCCATGCGCAGGACAGGAGCTCCGGAGGCCGCAGGAGTGGGGCCGAGGCGGGGGGGGGGGGGGGGGGGGGGGTGGGGGGTGGGGGGTGGTGGTGGTGAGGGTCTTGGAGAAGGGGAGTGACCTGGCAGGCTCCTGAGAAGTCAGGGGGCTTCTTCCAGGTGCTTATCATTAGACCCTTTCAGCCATCCAACCGGAGGAGTTACTATTATTATTCCCGTTTCACAGATGAGAAAACTGACACCCAGGAAGGAGAAGTAACTTACCCAAGGTCACCCTGCTGGTAATGGCAGAGCTGGAATTCGAATTCAGTTCCGCCCGGCTCCCGATCGCTCCCACCCCCACCCCCTTCAGTGCACAGGTGAGCAAGGCCCGCCCCGCGAACAGCCCCGGAGGCCAGGTGCCCCTGGGCCAAGGGCCAGGTGAGCGGAGGGCGTGGCCAGAGGGCGGGTGAGTCCCTGCCAGCCTCCGCAGGGCCCCGCGGGCTCCGTGGGCAGACGGCGCATCCTCTCGCTGCGGGCCTCCAGGGCCAACGGAAGCTCAGGGCCGTGGGTCCAAGGCGCGGGCGAGGGGCTGGGCGGGTGAGGGGCTGCCCCGCCGCATGAGGGCCCTCCTGAGGGGAAGTCCTGCCCAGGAGACCCCAACGGTGCCCAAGGAGGGAGGGGAGGCCACCGGGGAGGGAGGGGTGGGGTGGCTACACGGAGAGGGGGGCGTGGAGAGGGCCCCCAACCCCCCACCTCCAGGCCACACAGAACCCTACGGGCTGTTGGGACTCACTGCGGGGTGGGGGCGGATCGTTAGATCTGGGTCCATTTTGGGGTCTGGAAAATGTCCCCGTGGTTTTGGGGCCAGAGAAGGGCCGAGGAGGCTTGTCAGCAGGAAGGATCCTCTGACCAAACCGGGGTCAGTTTGCTGCCCAAGTTGCCCCGAATCACTGGTGGGAAAGGGAATGAGGCTCCCTGCGGCCCTGACAGGTACTCCCACCATTCCAACCCAGATGTACTTTCTGTCGCCCACCTCTTTCAACCCCCAGTACAGTTCCCTGCTGACCCGGGGGCTGCGCGGGGCCTTGGGAGGGGACAGGGCTGCATCCAGGCTGCTGCAGGGTGGCTCAGGGACTCTTCCAGGGGAACCCAGACTGAGGAAGCTCCCCCAGGCCCGTGGTGGCTCCCGGTGGTCCAGGCTCCACGAGCGAGCGAGCAACTCTTTTACTTTCCTGGGTCTTTTTAAATAATAATTAAGACAGTGTGATAGTTGCTGACAGTTGTTTTTGTTTTGTTTTGAATGCTTTTTTTTTTTTTAAAGATTTTATTTATTTGTCAGAGAGAGAACGAGCGAGCACAAGCAGGGGGAGAGGCAGGCTGGGGGAGAAGCAGACTCCCTGCTAAGCAGGGAGCCCCATGCACGACTCTATCCCAGGACCTCGGGATCAGAGGATTAACTGACTGAGCACCCAGGCGTCCCTGTTTTGAATGCTTTTGGCAAAATAAAGTTTTGTCAGTTCTACCCCTCCCCCCCCATTCACTCTCCCTTTCTCACACATGCAAATGAGCATACCTAGTAGGAAGAATTCACAGGTTCCACTAAATTCCTGACTTGAGAGTCACCAAACTGAACTCCTGGCCTGAGGCCTGAAGTGAGAGGGAGGGTAACCATGTGGGATTCGGGTCCTTGCCCCAGTGCTGACCGACTATGGGATCCTGGACCAGTGGTGGGTCTTTTGTCTCCTGTTCTCCATTTCAGCAGTACAAAGGGATCTGCAGATTCCCTATTGTATTAACATGGCTAGGGTCCTTTGAGTCTGGCCTAGATCAGTGCATCCCCCAAGTTGTATATCCATGGGGCACAGTCATCCAATCCCCATGCTAAGGGCTGTTCCAAAAGGCTGGTGAGGTCCTCCTCGCTGGAGAGCCGCGGGGTGGGGAGGGGCGGAGGAGGGGGATAGCGACAGACAGGAGGTGGTGCGCTGGGGTGCACCTGGCCCTGAAGTCACCCAGGCAGGGGGGAGGAAAGCATTGTACCCAGTGACCTGTTTATATGTCTTTCTCCCCCATAGTTACCAAGAGCCTGCGAGTTCCTGTCTTTTTTTATCCCTGAATCGCTGCTGCTGGCCTGAGCTGGGCATGGGGCGTCCAGTAAGTGTGGAGGGAATGACGGACAGTGGCTGGTGGCTGGGAGGGCTGCATGTGGTTTACAGGGCCAAGCTGAGCTTTACAGGGAAGGCAGAGAATGCACCCCCAGGGAAGGAAGGCCCGCGTGGAGGCCGGACGTGCTTGGAAAGGAGACCTGTGGGCATCAGGCAGGAAGGGTGGGGGCTTGGGGACTTCCCAGGAGGAAGGCCGATGAGATGGAGGTGTGGTGAGAGAGAGAGAGAGGCCAGTGCGAGCTCCAGGCCAGTATATGGTGACGGATCATGGCCAAAATGGGGGAAAACACGAAAGCCAGTTTTAGACAAGTTGAGGTTGTGGGAGGACAAACAGGGGCGCAGACCATCCGCTGACAGTGTCTAGCGAACTCCGTCCCATCCGGAGCATGGGGGTCAGGATGGAGCCATGACTCCTACCAGAGAATTTTAGAGCTAGGACTGCTCTTGGGGCCGACTGACTCCATCATTTTAGAGCAAAGGAAACTGAGGCCTGGCAGTTGAGGTGACTCATCAGTGTGGCCTGGAGGGTGGAGGGAAGATCTAAGGGGAGCCTTAGACAGAGGGAAGGATTATTCAGGTGGGAAGAAGGGAAGCTAGTGACAGGAAGGAGGTGAAAGCCCATGAGGATGTTTGCAAACCAGTCTGACAGCCCTCGGAGAGGAATAGCTGTTAACGTGTTTATAAACAGTGGATCTGGGAGGGGGGTTGCAAGAGTGCACCCACACTCTGCCCTCTGCGGGTCCCACAACCTCAGAGGCACTCCCTGCCCCGGCTGCAGTGAGGGGGTCTGCCTCGGGACCGAGAGAGGCCACAATGCCTAGGCATGAGCACAGATGTTTGCACAGGGTGTGGACCAGAGAGAGCAGCCCACTCCCTCTGAGGGCCTTGTCTTCTACACTTCAGACTCTGGCCTAATTACCACCCCCGGGTCATCCTGAAATCCCCAGGGCTATTGGCTGTTAGCTGCCTGTGGAGCACAGTGCGGAGGGTCTTTGTAGGTGGGGTGATTGTTGACAGAATCCAGCGGTGAGAACTTTAGGGTTGGCGGAGGTTTGGGGATGGATGGCCTAGTCCAACCTAAACCTCATTTTATTGAGGCTGAAATTGGGCTCAGAGAAGGGACCCTACTTTGCCCAAGATCCCCCGGTGACTTAGCAGCAGAAAATGTCATGCATTTTTTAGGTCTGCTGAAGAGGTCTGTAAGGTTGTAAAGTTTATCCACGCAGAGAAATCAACATTTCCTGAGGCTCACGTATGTGCTAACATTTCTGCAGGCGTCATCTCCTTGCCCCTCCCTTTTCCCTTGAACAGGTGATGCTGACTTTAGAGGACAAGGACGTGAAGGGATTCACGTGGGCCATAGCCCCCGCCTTGACCTCCTTGGGCTACCTGCTCATACTGCTGGTCTCCATCTTTCCCTTCTGGGTACGGCTTGTAAACGAGGAGTCCCACGAGGTGTTTTTCAGTGGCCTGTTTGAGAACTGCTTCCATATCAAATGCTGGAAGCCTCGACCCTTATCAGGTAAGAAGGGATGGAGGCAGGGACAGGACAGGGGTAGATGGGGCCTGCGTAGGGGCTTGGGTGACAGAGGACTGGATGGAGTCAGAGAGGACAGAATTTAATAAGCCCATAAGGGCATTTTCTGTGTCTCTGCTCTGAGGTTAGCGGAATGTATGTGGCTAGCAAAAGGTTAATAGTATCAAGTTGACCACCAGGGTCAGCAGCAAATGTGTCCGCAACAAAGTTTCTTTCTGGGGTAGGAGTGGCTCCACCTAGGATGGAGGGGTGGGGGTCCTGCCCTACTGTGTGAGGCTCTGCCACCTCTCAGGGCTGCTGTTAGCTCCCCGACATGGGACCTTTTTGTGTGGGCACAGCTCCCAGCTGGGGAACAGCCTTGTTAGTAGAGTGCAGGCTGGATTTCAGCCCCCACTTGTCCCCTCTGCCAAACACCTGTCCAACTCTGGGTGGCAGCTCTGCAGATAAGGTACTTAGGCCCGAGTACCGCGTTTTCAAGGGAATGCGCACGAATATGAGCTCAGTGGACTGTGGACGCACCTGAGGCCGTGTTTTACAAGGGACTTGGGAAGGTCAGGAGGATGTCTGTCTTGGAAAAGAGGTGAGCCTCTTTGGGGAAGAGCCCTTAGGGGCTCTCTCCTGGTAATAGAAGAGGAGGAACCTCTTTGGGGAAGATGGGCCACACTGTGTGCGCTCTTTGATCTGGAGTTCCTCAGCCTTGGTGCTACTGACACTTTGGCTGGCTAACCTTTGTTGTGGGGGTTTTCCTGTTTCTTGCAGGACAGTTAACAGCACCCTTACCCTCTATTACCCGATTGATGCCCTCAGTTTCGACAACCAAAATTACCTCTTAGCACTGCCAAATATCCCTGGTGGGGGTGTAAAACTGCCCCCAATTGAGAACCATTGGTTTAACCCAAGAGTAGAATCTAGAACCTTTGGGTCTTTAGCAACACCTTTGTCTTTTTGTCCCACCACCAGCTGTCCATCTCTGCATGCTTAGGAGGGTATATAAACTTGTTTTCACATGGGTCTGAGTCACGCCAGTAGGGGATCATCAAGACCCTGGCTCTGCTATTTTGGGTCTGTTTCATTACTTCTGTTAACCAGGATACTTAAATAAGCATTTCCCCCAGAGTTCAGAACATCTTAACCTCACAAGTTCTGATTTTCCACCGGTGGCTTATTTCAGTGTGAACCAGTACTGATGCAATTCTTCACGTTTTCACATGCAAATTTTATAATTTTTATTGTTTATTTATTTATTTTTTTTTAAAGATTTTTTTTTTAATTTATTTATTTGAGAGAGAATGAGAAACAGAGAGCATGAGAGGGAGGAGGGTCAGAGGGAGAAGCAGACTCCCTGCCGAGCAGGGAGCCCGATGCGGGACTCGATCCAGGGACTCCGGGATCATGACCTGAGCCGAAGGCAGTCGCTTAACCAACTGAGTCACCCAGGCGCCCATTTTTATTGTTTATTAAAATGACCGTTTGCCCATCTAATTTTTTTTCCCCGTACACTTCCATGTCACAGGGAACAAAATGTTGGGACCAGAGCACTCTTGGAGGCAAAGTGGTGGGGTTGGAGCCGTGGTCCCTGGCCGCACTGTGGGACTGAGGGTGGTGAGCTCCAGGGGCCTTCTCTGCGCAGGTTCTGCGGGGCTCTGTCCCCTGTCACGGGTCAGGGTGCCCAGCTGCAGCCCAGCCTCCCTCCCCCGCAGTGCACATCATTCTCGGCCGCGTTTTCCTGCTGTCTGCAGTCATCCTGTCTTTCCTCACCACCTTCATCCTGGTGTCCTTTGCATCTCAGCTGTTTCCGAGGACCCGGAAGCACAATTTGGTGTCAGCCTTCATCAGCTTCCTCACAGGTGTGGAACAGGCAGGCAAGCCTTGTCCCCAGGCAAGCCTCAGCTTTGGGGAGGGTTTGAGGGGGGCACCCAAAGGCAGGGAGATGGTTGGTTTCTGTGATGTCAGGAGAGAGGGAATTTTTAGGGCCCCTCTCTCCTGCTGCCTTCTCTGAGGCAGCCTGCCCCCCAGGATGACAGTCGCTCTTCCCGGGGGTCGCTGGGCACCCTGCACTTCCAAGTAGCACAGCACTCACGCGTTGGCTTGGGGCCATTTGTCTGGGGGTCTTTTTACCATAATCTCTATCCTAGCAACTGTCATAGAATCTGGCACAGAATGATAATATGGAAGTGAAATATATAATATAAGTGAAATATAAGCGTTTCTTGGACGAATGGATGGAAGACACCATCTCTGCCCTTTGGAACCTTTTGACTTTAAAAGGCTGGCCATGGCCCTACCCTGGGAGGCTCCCATCACATGAAGGAGGTGGAACGCTCACAGTGGGAAGATCAGGTTGAGTTGTACCCAAAGCATCACACCCAGGGGGCCCCATCTGGAGTCAGCCAATGGCACGGCCACAGAGGGGACCCGGGAAAGGGCTTTCTGGTTATGGGGCCCTGGGAGGTGAGGCACATGGGCTTTGAAATGAGCTGGGATGGAGGGAAAGACAGGCATGTGGGGTAGAGGTTGCGGGCTCTGAGAGGGCCCAGGTGTGGGCTGGGGAAAAGGGCCTCCACACAGGAGCTGCACTGGTTGTGGGCCACGAGACTCTGTCTGATTAAGAGCAAAGGTGGGAGCCATGGGAGGAGAGCAAGAGGGCCTCCCTGTGACCCTGCAGGGGTCTGTGCCTTCCTGGCCCTGTTGCTGCATGCCCTGGAGATCCAGAATCTGAGGATGAAGCCCATCCCCCCCCAGATCTCCGTGCAGTGGCCTTACTACGTCCTTGGCTTTGCCATCGTTCTGTTCGTAGTGGCTGGTGAGTGTCCTGGGGCTGGTGCCCTTCTCCCTGTCCTCTGTCTGGATTCAAGAGCCATGGACGCTCTAGAGTGGTGCTGTCCAAAACTGCAGTCACTAGCTACTTGTGGCTATTTAATTAATTAAAGTGAAGTAAATAGAAATTCAGTTCTTCAGTCATTGCTAGCCACATTTCAGGTGTTTGGTAACATTATGATGTATCTAGTAGCTGCCATATTTAGTGGTGCAGACGTAGAAATTTCCATCATTGCAGAAAGCTCTACTGAACAGCACTGCTCTAGAGCTCAGCCCTATCTCTCATCCTTGTCCTCCTTGACTTTAGAACCAACCTCCAGATTTCATATTCTATCTTATTCTGTCCTGACTCCTACAGGTTTCTATGCCTATCTCTATCTATTCACCTCACCTTCACCTTACTGTCTTATCTTTATATACCATCACCATCTAAGCCCTCAATACTATCTAATTTTGTCCTTTTTCCTAATTTCCTGCTATATTAACCTGACCCATAATATAATCTATTTTAACTTGATTTTATTATACATTGAATATATAAAAATATTTATAATATATGAGCTAGGTAATTAAAAATAAACTGTATGCCCATTTCCACCATTTAGTTTAAGAACTAGCCATATTTTCATGGAATCCACTGTTTGTAAGTTACATTCTTGTTTATGTATCACCGAGAAAGAAAAAAGGATGCCAAGAATAATTAATTATAAGGTGTTGTAGCTTGTAAGGCACATCCTCACTTCAGAAATGTGAAAAAAATGGGCTTGTCAACATTGATGAAATATGGTAGAATATTAAGTATCTTTGAAGTCTTCCCCCGCTCAACCATGTGGCTCTTCCTGATCTCGTCCTCTTGTCTCCCCTCAGGAACCGATTATTCTGAAGTTTGTGATCATCATATTTACTACATGTGTATTTATCCTTAAACACTTTATTACTTTGTTTTACTTGTTTTAAAACTTTGTATAATCATACTGTGTTTATACAACAGTATAACCTCCATGTTAATACAAGGAACTCTAAGGTTCATTCATTTTTACCATCTTAAGTGTTTAATTGTACAACTAAGCTTGTTTGTAGGAGCATGGTATTTCTCTGTGGGAGAATTTTAAGCTCATGATTCAGTTTCTTTTAATGACTATAGGACTATTGAGGTATTTGCTTTCTCCTTGAGTTAGTTTTGGTAATTTATATATATTTCTGAAGTTTATATATTTTGTCTAAATTTTGAAATTTATTGACATAAAGTTACTCGAAATGTTTTCTTTTTTAACTTTATTTTGTGATGCATCTGTAGTTACGTGCTTCATTTTTCACATGAATTTTCTCTTTTTTCATTGCCAGGTTTGTCAGAGGTTTACCACATTTTTAGTCTTTCCAAAGAACCAGCGTTTAGCTTTCTTTCTTTCTTTCTTTTTTTTTTTTTTTTAAAGATTTTATTTATTTATTTGACAGAGAGAGACAGCGAGAGAGGGAACATAAGCAGGGGGAGTGGGAGAGGGAGAAGCAGGCTTCCCGCAGAGCAGGGAGCCCGATGCGGGGCTCGATCCCAGGACCCTGGGATCATGACCTGAGCCGAAGGCAGCCGCTTAACGACTGAGCCACCCAGGTGCCCCCAGCGTTTAGCTTTCTTGAACCTTCATATTTTATGTTTGTTTTCTATTTAATTAATTTTTCCTTCTTATTTTGAACCTCCGTCACTGCTACTTTTTTGCATTTATTCTGCTATTCCTTTTCCAGCTTCTTAAGTCAGGATCTAAACTCATTGCTTACTTCTTTTCTTTTCCTTTTTTTTTTTTTAAAGATTTTATTTATTTATTTGAGAGAGAGAGAAAGAGAGAGCATGAGAAGGGTGAGGGGCAGAGGGAGAAGTAGACTCCCCGCTGAGCAGGGAGCCCAATGCAGGCTCTATTCTGGGACTCCAGGATCATGACCTGAGCTGAAGGCAGACGCTTAACCGACTGAGCCACCCAGGCACCCCTACTTCTTCTTTTCTAAGTAGGCAATTAAAGCTTCAATTTCCCTGTAGGAATTGCTTCATTTGCAGCTCCCATTTTCATATGCAGTATTTTATGTTACTGTTCTATTTCAAATATTTTCTAGTTCCCCGTATGATTTTTTTGATCCATGAATTATTTTAAACTATACTTTTACATTTCCAAGCATATAATTTTTTATTGTATCTTTGTGTTAAATGATTTTGACTTAATTTCAATGTGATGAGAGATCATGGTCTATATAATCCTAATGTGTTCAGATTTATTGAGACTTGTTTTATAGCCTAGTTTGAGGTCCATTTTCATGTTTTATGTTGAGTGCAACTTTTATAAACATTAGATCAAGCTTATTTATTATATTGTTCTAATCTTGATTTAGAATTGTCCTATTTTAAGCTAGTCACAGAAGGACAAATACCGCATGATTGCACAATATGAGATGACCAAAATAGTCAAAGTTGTAGAAGCAGAGTAGCATGGTAGTTGCCAGGGCCTAGGAGGGTGAAATGAAATGTTGTTTGATGGATATAATGTCTTAGTTATTCAAGATAAGTAAGTTCTAAAGATGTGCTGCACAATGTAATGCCTATAGTTAACAATACCGTACTGTACACTTACAAATTTGTTACGTAGGTAGATCTCATGTTAAGTATTCTTACCACAGTAAAAAAATTGAAACAATATCTGAAAATAATGAATTTGTTTTTCAAAAATATGCTTTTCTCTTGATTTTTGCCTGCAAAACTCCTCTAAACTGTCCTCATAAGCAGCTTAATGACAACCTGACAATTGACCTTGCTCTACCACAGAATGCACAGATGTGGTTGGCATCACTCAGGCCAAGAAACAGAGTTGAAGCAACGTGGAAAGATCCACAAAATCACAGTCTCCTATAAAAGCATACCTGTACAGAAATTCAGTTATTAACAAAGTTAACTCACGTTTTAATTGCATCATACTTGCTTCAAGGATAAAGCAAGAAAACACATGTGTTCAACTTTACCAGTAAAAGAGACAAATATATGTATAATGAAACTGTATTCACAATTTTTTATAAGCCGACTCGTGCTCACAGCGAAGTAGAAAACCACATCAAAGGAGTGGCAGCCGCAGAGAAATTCACAGGTTGACAGATTTCAGTTCAACTATAGAACAAGCCTTTCAAAACCCAACGAAATGGAAATACTAGCACAAGTATGGGAAAATATAAGAATGTTCTCAGCAGCATTATCTAAGGAAGGGAAATATATAAAATTATGTTACATTCATGTAATGAAGTACTATGTAGCTGTTAAAAAGTATAATAAGTCTTTATGTATTGATGTGGAGAGCCATTCATGCTCTATTAACTTGGGGGTGGGGGACAAGTTGGGAAAATTGTGTATAAAATGATCTTAAAGGCAAAAAAAAAAAGAATTGTTCTGTTTTACTGGTGAATTGAACTTTTAATCATTATGCATGCTGTGATCCTTTTTATTTCTAGTAGTCCCTTTTGCTAAAGTCTGTTTTATCTGATATTACTCTAGCTACTTCTACATTCTTTAGGTTAGTATTTGCCTGTTATATATCTTTCTAATCTTTTACTTATATGTAATCATATAGCTGATGATTGTATTTTTTTCATCCAGTTTTATAATCATTGTCTTTTAACTGGAGCATTTATTATTGATTTACATTTATTGTGACTACTGATATGTTTCTATTTTTTCCTACCACCTTACTTTTTGTTTTCAGTTTTTTCTGCTCCCCACCCCCCAACCTCTCTTGCCTTGCTTTGAATTGATTGACTTTTATCGATACAGTTCTCATTATATTTTCCCCCTCTTTAGTTTGGAAGTTATGTAGTCTATTTGTATTCTTGTAGTAGCCACTCTTGACATTTTAACATGCTTACTAAACAAAGGTGAAAGTTCATCAACATATTTATTTTCTTTATAAATAATACAAGGTAATGCCTTCCCAATTTATATGCTATTTCGCACGTTTTAGTTTCTTCTGTTTTCTTTTTAATTCTATATATTTGATTGTACTGTTATTTTATGCGTTCAATATTTGTTGGTTTAAATTTACCCACATATTTACCAATTTAGTTGCTTATCAAACCTTCTCAGACCTTCTGTCCTTCTGCCTGAAATACATCCTTTATAATGGGTTTTATTAGGGTCAGTTAGAGATACACTCTCTCATATTTTGTTTGTATGAAATTATCTTCCTTTCATTTTTGTTCATGAAAATTAGTTTTGCTGAACTTACATTTTTAAGTTGACAGTATCCCCAAGCATTCAAGATATTATTCTATTATTATTATTATTATTTTACCACTTCCATTGTTGTTGACTGTAAAAATATCATTCTTTTTGAAGCAATCTTTGTTTTTTCTCAGACTTTCTTTGGTACTTTACAGGGTGTGGATATTTGTATCATGACTCGTGGTATGAACTGTCTGAGGAATGATGTCTTTCAAAATTTCTCTATCATTTTAATCTTTTTTTTATCTCTATGTTCTTTCCTTCTCTTTTCTTTTCTTTGTGGAACTCCAGGAAGACATCTGTTAGACTTTGTCACTCTATCGTATGTCTCTCTCTCTCTTTTCATGCTTTCCATCTCTTTGTCTTTCTGGGCTGCATTCTGAATAACTCATATAGATGTATCTTCAGTTTCATCCATTCACTTCTCAGCTGTGTCTGGTTGGCTGCTTCACCTATTAAATTTTTATTTCAGTCAATCTGTTTTTATAACTGGAAATTATATTTTCCCTTAATTCATGTTATTTTTATACTCTTTTTCCTCACATATATAATTTTTAAAGATTTTATTCATTTATTTGACAGAGAGAGACACAGCGAGAGAGGGAACACAAGCAAGGGGAGTGAGAGAGGGAGAAGCAGACTCCCCTGCTGAACAAGGAGCCCGATGCGGGGCCCAATCCCAGGACCCTGGAATCATGACCTGAGCCGAGGGCAGACGCTTAACGACTGAGCCACCCAGGCGCCCCCTCACTTACATTTTTAATCTGTTCTCTAAACATATTTTTATTATACATGTTAAGCATACTTTGCATTCTGTGTCCTATAAGTTTAACAACTGAATGATATGATATGCTGGTCTGAGTCCATTGGCTGCTGTTTTTGCAGGCTCTTGCTTATGGTGTCTTGTTTCTTGGTATGTTTGTGAATTCATTTTCCTTGGAAATTTTTTTTTTTTTTTGGGTAGAAATTCTTTGAGGCCTGTATTTAAAGCGTTTTTTCAGAAAGGGATTTGCATTTGCTTCTGCTTGATGCTTGGGTGCACAGCTAGCCAAGGATCACAACAGGTATTGTGAATTTTAGTTACAGACCCACAGAACAGCTAGCCTCTGTTTATGAATTCTCAGTCAATACAGTTCTAGCTTCATATGGCAGACCCTTCTTAGATTGCTCATCTTGAGCAGGCCCTGAGCTTTTCCTCTCATTTTGTGTCCCAAATGGCCAACAGAACGAAAACTCAGGGTTACCTGGGTTGAGTGTATGTCTCCAACGTGAAGGCTAATTGTGTGCTTGCTTAAACTCTCTAGGTTTCTGTTTTCACTAGGGTTTTGTTCCTAAGAATGCCTTACCCTGATGCCAGTTTGATGATGTATTTACAAATAGGTGTTTGAAGAAATATCTTATATAGAATTTTTGTTGTTTTTATTGGGAGAGTATGTAGTCTCCTATCATGCTGAACATAGAAGTTGTTCTTTCTCTTAGCCTTAACCTTAATACAACATTTATTATTCACTCAAGATGTCTCCATTTGTTTTATGACAACAATTCTCTTTTTCCTTTCTTTTACTTTACTGGGGGTCTTGAGTTGGGCATTAAGAGGCCTGGGTTTTGTGTTTGACCTTCCTCTTAAACCTTGTTTTCTTACCTATTAATAGTTAGCCGGTTGCTAAGATGCCTTCCAGCACTGGCTATGGTTTTGTGAGTTTTATCCATCTTTTTGTATGCCTTGTCTTGTGATGCATTCTATTTTCTGTCTGTCTCTGTAATACTCTATATTGGAGGGGAGAACTAGGAAGCGTGGGTGCAGACCAGAGGGGGTCACATTCGAGGAGGGAGTTCCTGACCTCACTCTCCAGCCTGACCCAAACTTTCGCTGTTACCCAGGTGCCATCTGCCTCTTTCAAGAAACAACCTGCCTTAGCCGCCATCGGTTGCCCAACTCCCGGAGTATCGAGGAAACCCAAGGGGTCCCCCACCTGGAGAATCTGGAGAGTTTGGGAGGAGACCTGAGCTCAATACAAAAGGAGACACTGCTGAAGGAAGAAACGATTATCTAGTCCAGGAGAATGTCCTCCACCCGTCAGCTGCATGAGTGCCTGCGTGGGGGCCTAAGGGGCAGCCAGTCTCTGCAGCTTCTGATGAGCTTCCTGAGTCAGATCAGTGCTCCCCTTCCCCGTACTCACAGTGATTCTGTCTTGCTTGTCTTTGCAATTTATTAAAAGTTTTTTGAATTATTCTGTTTCCTGAGTGGGGTGTGTGTGTGTGTGTGTGTGTGTGTGTGTTTTGTTTTGTTTTGCAGCTGTTTTCAATAAAATGACTACTGAATGTTAATCCAAACCTCAAGAAAACCAGCCTGGAGGACAGGAGGGGAGGAAGGAATATGACAAAATGATCAAGTAAAGTGAGCTTTTGTAAAACAAAAACCGAACAGAATATAACCACAACAGAGGGTGTTTGAGTTAGTGACATTAAAAAGAAAAAGTGATGGGGTTGCCTGCGTGGCTCAGTTGGTTGAGCGTCTGCCTTCAGCTTAGGTCGTGGTCCCAGGGTCCTGGGATTGAGCCCTGGTTCGGGCTCCCTGCTCTGTGGGAAGCCTGCTTCTCCCTCTCCCACTCCCCTTGCTTGTGTTCTCCCTCTCACTGTGTCTCTCTCTCTCTCAAATAAATAAGATCTTAAAAAAAAAAGAAAAAGTGATGTCCCCAGACAAAGGTGTGACTCAGTACAGTAAACCTAAGTATGTGTTGGAGGGAAGGGTTGGGAGTGGTTAAAGGTCAATGCTTCTCAGGATTAAGCCCCCAGGTCTGGAAGTCTGAGCCTAATGGGTCTGTAACCCCCCGGGAGCAAGCAGAGGCAAGTTAGCCAACTAACATATGGGTGCACATCCTCTCACTAAAGCCAGGGGCATCTCTAATGTGTCCTGACGGTGCTTACGGACTGGGGAGCTCTCAGCCCCCCAGCTAGGATGGGTATGGCTGGGAAGTAGGAATGCTTGGGGGGCTGGCTAGAACAGTGATCCAAGCCCTCTGCAGACTTCATATCCACCCTTCATCTGAACAATACCCATCAGCAATGCTTCCCCACTTTGCTCTGCAAGGAACACATGGGGGAGGGGGGAAGCTCTTATAACTTAAGCAGTGCAACTTCAGAAACAGGTATGGGGAGCCCGATCTCAGGTCCTGAGCTGAAATCAAGAGTCAGTCGCTCAACTGGCTGAGCGACTAGGTGCCCCCTATAACCTTCATTTCTACGGTTAATGCTAAAGCAACTCTTACATCTGCCATTTTACTTTGTCCTGCTAAAGATAGGCCAGGTATAATTCTACCCATTTTTCTTTAAAGAACCAGAGAGGTGATGTCTTCTATCAGATAATTTTCTTCCTCTTTCCATCTGCCCCTTTGTCTCTTTCCCTCTTTCCCTCCTCCCTTTTCCCCTTCTTTTCTCTCAGGACCTCACAATGCTCTCGACTCATTCAGTACCATGTTCCTTGCTAGGAAAAAGTGCCTTCATTTGCTCAGCATCCCTGAAAATCTGTCTTCTTTTTGACATTGCCATTTCCCTAGCAATCCTTTGGTTATATTCTGATCTCTCAGGGCCAGGAGCATGAGGTTGGAATTTGTCTGGTTTCCTTTGCAGTTTTTAGACTACTGTTGTTAATTTTTCTTCAAAAATCTTCTCTTTATATCATGGGAAAGAAGGGCCAGTGATGTAGAAAAGCTCTTCCAAATATAAAAGATAAGTATAAAACTGCGGTTATTAAACAATTTGGCAGGTCCTGACATAGGATCCAGGTAGATTACAGAATAGGAATCCAAATACAGAGGCAACTTTATACAAGGAAAAATAGAGCCTTCAACAAATGGTATTGAGGAAAACTTGTTAGCCATTGGGAATATGGAAGGCAGAGATATTTTTTTTATAAAGATTTTATTTATTTGAGAGAGAGAGCATGAGCAGGGGGAAGAGCAGAGGGAGAGGGAGAAACAGGTTCCCCACTGAGCAGGGAGCCTGATGCGGGGCTCGATCCCAGGACCCTGAGATCATAACCTGAACCGAAGGCAGACTCTTAACGGACTGAGCCACTCAGGAGCCCCTGGAAGGCACAGAGATTTTAAAAAAAGAATGAATGAAGGGTGCCTGGGTGGCTCAGTTGCTTAAGCATCTGCCTTCCGCTCAGGTCATGATCTCAGGGTCCTGGGATTGAGCCCCGCATTGAGGTCCCTGCTCAGCGGGGAGTCTGCTTCTCCCTCTCCCTCTGCCCCTTCCTCCCCAACCGCCCTGCTCTGGGCTTGTGTGTGTGTGTGTGTGCGCGCACGCTCTCTCTCTCAAATAAATAAATAAAATCTTAAAAAAAAATAAAAAAGGTTGACTGAATTTGAATACATAAAACATACAATCTTTTGCCGTGCATGAAGTTCCTTAAGAAAGACCAATAGGGGGCGCCTGGGTGGCACAGTTGGTTAAGCGTCTGGCTCTTGGTTTCAGCTCAGGTCATGATCTCAGGGTCCTGGGATTGAGTCTCGAGTTGGGTTCTGTGTTCAGTGGGAGTCTCTCCCACTCCCCCTGCTTGTGTTCCCTCTCTCGCTGTCTCTCGCTCTGTCAAATAAATAAATAAAATCTTTAAAAAAAAAAGTAAAAAATTTTATTTATTTGAGAGAGAGGGAGAGAGAGAGCACGAGTGTGTGTGGGGGGGAAGGCAGAGGGAGAGGGACAAACAGGCTCCCCGCTGAGCAGGGAACGCAACTTGGGGCTTGATCCCAGTACCCTGAGATCATGACCTGAGTGGAAGGCAGATGCTTAACCGACTGAGCCACCCAGGCGCCCATATAATTTTTTCTTACATCATTCCTCACAATAGATATTTCAGTTTTTACTCCATTATTTAAGCCTATCACTGTCCCATGCATTCTCAGCAGGTAATATCACTGGGGCAGGAGGCCAAGAAAGAAAGAACTCCTCAAACGCCTCCATAGTATGATTTTAAAACCATCTACTTCAGAGGTCAGCCAACTACAGCCCTTGTGTCAAATCTAGTGCTGGCTGTGAGCTAAACATGGCTTTGACATTTTTACAGGATTGCAAAAATGAGTATGTGAAAATGTGTCCAGCAAAACCTAGGATAGTTACTTTCTGGCCTTTCATAGAAAAAGTTTGCTGAGCCCCAACCTAGACCATCACTCATCTTTGAATCTTTTCTTCCCAATTCAGAGTCCCCTTTCCTCTCCAAAGCTGCCCTGGAAACCTGTGATCTGATCCAATCTCCTCCTGCCTTTGCCAGAATGCTCTCTTCCCTGTGTCTTCTCCATGATAAGCTGAAGGAAGGTTTTTGATATCACTAGGAATAGTTCAGTTTTCCCAGACAGATTGAGCCAATCGGGCTGTTTCATTTGGCCCCGGATGACAAGGTTGTCTCATACCTCTCAGATGTGAGTGCACGTTAGTGGATGGAGGCTATCTGACACTATTCCCAAGGTGGATTGATCATGTAATTTGTAATATAAAAGAATCTGAGATCCCATGAGCCCAGCTGGACTTGGTCCTGGATGCGGTATAAGGTATGGACCCAACATTATCTCTTTCCAGATGACCAGCCAGTTGTCTGCTTTTTAAATGTTCATTCTTATTGATAAATGTGGCCTTGGTCATTTACTAAATTATTCCACCTTCTCTCTCATCCTCCAGACCCAATCAATCCTCAAACCTTGGCAATTTTACTTCCTCAGTAAGTTTCCTATTGAATCACTCCTTGCAATCTCTGTTCTCACCGAATGCCCCAGGTCTGTCTCACCCTCTCTCTCCTGGACTGCCTTTTTAAGCCTCTTTTTATGCGACAGTCAGCCGTCTCATTTCTCCACCTCCCCCTCTTCTTGCTCAGTCTTTCTCCACGGGTTCTCAGCAACATCTTTCCAAAATGTGTCCCTTCCCGCCTTTAAACCTTTCCATGGCTTCCTATTGGCTTGAGCTTATCAACCGAAATTCTTAGTTTAACCGTCTGCTAGAGTGGCCTGCGTGGTGTGGGAATGAGGTCAATCCCTCCACACTCGCTAGGGACACTCACCTCACTTTTTAAAAGGTCCACCCTTCAAATCTGAGCTGAGGTCCGGCTCCTCCAGGAAGCCTTCCCTGACTCCCTCCTCCCAACTACTCGGGTGGAGGCCCCTCTTATGCGAACCTATAGCATTCGGTGCTTCCCTCTGTCACCCTCGGCCCCTGCGCCTTGCACAAAGTACAAGAAGCGCGGAATAAGCACGTGTTGACCGACTGGACTCTAAAGCCCATTGACACAGGCTTCGCGTCCAGGAGTATGTCTGGAGGGACCTTCTCACGGAGGGAAAGCAGATGCAAAAACACAGAGGCGCCAAAGGGCCTGACGATCGCGAGGACCGCGAGCCTCTAGGGGACGAGTTAGCCTGGGAAGAGGCGCCCGGTCTCCTGGAACAGGCCCAGGGGACCAGCGACCATAGAGACACACCGACCTCCGGGAGTCCTAGAGAGGAAGCGGAAGGGGCTCTTTCCTCACGCACCTGTCTGACAGCGTCCGCGGCCCACTTCCGGTCCGCTGAGGGCTCGGGCCAGGCCGGCGCTGCTGAGGGACCGCGGTGAGAGGCGGGTTGGGGTGGCTGGGTCGAGGCGGAGGCGGCGGCGGGCCGGGCTTCGGGGCCGCTGCGGGCCGCTGCGGTGGCGGGGGTGGCGGTGGCGGCGGCGGGGCTGAGGTAGCGGGCGGCGCGTCTCCCCAGAGCTGCCTTCCGCGGCACGGAGGCCATGGCGGGGCGGGACGCGGGGGCTCAGGTGGGAGCGGGGTTGGGCCGGCCCGGCCAGGGTTGCCTCAGCGTCGGGGGCGTCCCCGGACTCGAGACCTGGAAGAGCGCGGATCTCTCACAAAACTGAAAGTAGCCATTTTAGAGCAAGACGTGGGACACTCAGGTGAAGAATGGCTTCTCTTTAAGCCTTCTCTTCGTCAAGTGCCGGGGATGAAAGATGAGTGAGGACCTTTCGCGCCTTCAGGGAATCTGGTGGTCGGAGACACATTGGTAAACGTCTGCGCTGTAGCGCCCTCAGGGCAACAGGGGAGTGAATAAATGCAGCAGCTGGGAAGTCGTGGAAGAGAAATCTCAGTTGGTGCAGCGGAGAAAATGAATCGACTGGAAATGTAAAATAGGTCTAAGCAGGGTATATAAGTACACGAACACCCGATAGAATATTGTTTTTTTTCAAAGGTTTTATTTATTTATTTGAGAGAGAGAATGAGATAGCATGAGAGGGGGGAGGGTCAGAGGGAGAAGCAGACTCCCCGCTGAGCAGGGAGCCTGATGCGGGACTCGATCCAGGGACTCCAGGATCATGACCTGAGCCGAAGGCAGTCGCTTAACCGACTGAGCCACCCAGGCGCCCCCACCCAATAGAAAATTATTAAGTAGGAGCTTCGGAAGTACCTCCTGCCAGTTTATTCTCTGTGGCATTAAGATTGATCTTTCCCTCCTCTAAAAACTGAGCCCCTTCCCCACTTTGGACTCCCGGGTCTGTCTCCCCAGCCTACCCTGCACCCCCAACCTGAACCCGGCATGAAATTAAATAGTACTCATCCTCCAGTCTAGTGTAAGCCCCTTCTTTTTTCATGAGTACGTGAAGGACACTCACCTTTCTCTCATTTTGGCTCCCCCTGTGGCTTATCTGTGCCATATCCTTTGGGCTGCGGACCTTGGCCACTAATCTCTTCCATCTCCAGTTTCTTCGTTTTGAAAGGGGGGGGGGGTGTAATACTCCTTATACAGAATGGTTATTAAGTATTAAATGAGCGTGTGTGTTCAAAGGCTTTCTAACTGGTAGAGCCTACACAAGTTAAAAATCTGTAAAAAAAAAATTTTTTTTTTTAAAGATTTTATTTATTTATTTGAGAGAGAGAGAATGAGAGACAGAGAGCATGAGAGGGAGGAGGGTCAGAGGGAGAAGCAGACTCCCCGCCGAGCAGGGAGCCCGATGCGGGACTCGATCCAGGGACTCCAGGATCATGACCTGAGCCGAAGGCAGTCGCTTAACCAACTGAGCCACCCAGGCGCCCCAAAATTTTTTTTTTATTTGAGAGAAAGAGCAGGGGGCGGAGGGGCAGAGGGAGAAGGAGAGAATCCTGAAGCGGACTCCATACTGAGCGCGGAACACAAAGCAGGGCTGGATCCCAGGACCCTGAGATCATGACCTGAGGGAAATCAAGAGTCTGCCCTTAACCGACCGAGCCATCCAGGCACCCCACAAGTTAAAAATCTTTTGATCAATTATAATGACATATGTGTCACTCTGTTGTTTTCTTTAGGCTGAGCACACGGTCACATCCAGGCCACTGGCAAGTCTCTTGGTTTTACCTCCAAAATATGTCTTGACTCTGTCTGCTTTGCCACCATCCCGAGCCTCTCCTGCTTGGACCACTGTAAGTGCTGCTTCCCTTCTTATCCCCTCTAATCTATAGTCCATTGACACAACACAGGCAAAATGACCTTTGTAAAACAGGTGGCTTCCCGCCAAAGTAAGGGTAAGCCGTAATTTTTAGTGTGTCCCAGTTCCTGGATAATCTGGTTCTGCCTGCTTCTGCCACCTCTTCTCGTGCAGCTCTGTCCCTCACTTAACTCTGCAGAAGCCATACTGCACTTTGGCTTGTTCTCAGATACACAGAGTAATTTCTGGCCTCAGTCCTTGTGCCTGGAAAAATCTGAATGACTGGCTCATTCTCATTCTTTGGGTTTCAGCCTCCATGTCATCTTTTCAGAAAGTGGTTCTTCAAGTTGTTCATCCTCCATTAATAGAGCACCCTACCTATTTGCTTTCTAGAACTTATCTCCATTTATAATTTTAATTTATTTGCTTATATATTTTTTGTCTGCTGCACTAGTATATAAGTATCAAAGGGTAAGTGCCTTGTTTGTTTTGTTCTGTATTATATTTCCTTTTTTTTTTTTTTTAAGGATTTTATTTCTTTATTTGAGAGAGAGCAAGAGAGAGAGAGAGCACAGAGGGAGAGGGAGAAGCAGACTCCCCGCTGAGCAGAGAGCCAGATGTGGGGCTTGATCCCAGGGCTCAAGATCATGACCCAAGCCAAAAGCAGATGCTCAACCGACTGAGCCACCCAGGCACCCAATCTGTGTTATATTTCTAGTTTCTGCAGGTCTGGCATATATATTTATTGAAGGTGTATTATACCTTTGGAAGAGTAGGCCCGTGTGACTGATCTAATTATAATCTATTTTATATTCTCTGATTTTAGTGTTACCTTCCTAATGAGATCCTGCAGTGTTTGTGGGTATAAAGTAAACCCTATACATTTTTTTGCACATACTAGCTTGTTAACATATATTTACTGAATTGAATTGACGTGATTTTCAGGATATATGTTCAGTCTTTTGAAAGTAATTGTCATGTTCTCTAGCAGAATATCCATTGATGTAGACACAGAACTGGGATGGACTGGCTTTTCCTTTGTCTCATTTTTGCTGCCATTTTTGTTTGTCTGGTCTTCCCAACAGACCTTCAGTCTTCTGGGAGGGGTGTGAAGATGCTTAAGGAGCGTCCAAGGATGGCAGAAGACCCTCAGCAGCAGATGGGTGTTCCTGTGGTAAAGCTAGAGAAAGAGTTGCCATGGGGCAGGGGAAGGGAGGACCCTAGTCCGGAGACTTTTCGTCTGAGGTTTCGGCAGTTCCGCTACCAGGAGGCAGCTGGTCCTCAGGAAGCCCTCAGGGAACTCCAGGAACTCTGTCGCCAGTGGCTGAGGCCTGAGCTGCACACCAAGGAGCAGATCATGGAGTTGCTGGTGCTGGAGCAGTTCCTGACCATCCTGCCACGGGAGTTCTATGCCTGGATTCGGGAGCATGGCCTGGAGAGTGGCAAGGCTCTTGTGGCCATGGTGGAGGACTTCACAGAGAGAACATTGGAGGCCAAGGCGGTGGGTGAGAAGGGGGTATCTGGGTCTTGTTTCATTGGTGTGGGAAGGGGAGATTTAAAGAACTGAAAAGTTTGAGGAAGCAGTGGGAGTAGATGAGGTATACAGTCTCCTTCATCTGCTCCCAGACTCCCTGAGGTACTGTTTGGAGGGCAGTGGAGTTTTCAGGAAGAAAAGTCATTCTCAGGGAAGCTGCAGGGCCTGTAGAAGGGCTGTTAGCTTCCTTTTTGGTCATCAGGACAGAGGCCTGGCCATATTTCCCTTGTGAGCCTCAGGCCTAAAGAAGGCAGTTGTGACCAGTTTTAAGGTCCCTCATAGACTCATTCCTCTTTGGGTAGAGATACATGTGGGAATACAGAGAATTCCACTTGGGTGAATATTCTTACTAAGAAGCATGGTCTGCACAGTGCTCAGGTGGCTCACATTAGGGATTCTGTGGTGGTGTTCTGGTGATACCAGGCAGTTGCATCTCAGATGCTTTCTTGGGACTTTGGCAACGTGTCTGTGACTCTTTGGTACAGTCACCTGATTGTTGGCTGAGAAGGAAGAGAGCAGGACTTAACATAACTGTTTTGCTTGCAAATAACCATCTTTCTTCACTTCATTCTTCCTTTTCCTACTGTAGTTACCCCTGACTTCCTCCATAATCCTAAGAATTGTTTTATTTACTCCCAACCCAGGAGCTTTAAAGTAGACCAAAAAGGGCCTGTTTTTGTGACTGTGTCTCAATGTGAGTTGTCCTGATTTTTCTTGCTATTTTTAGAGCCAAGTTTTTCTCACTAGCTAGTTCACTACGGAATCAAGGTTTGTATTTTTTACTTTTAGCATTTATAATTGGGGGATTTTTTTCCTAGTAGGGAGTGTTTTGGGCTAAAGTTCTCAACCAAACAATATTTAGCCTCTCTGTGATACTATTCATGGTGGAATTCGGTCAGGCCAAAGGGACCCTTACAAAATGGCATAGACACATAACAGTTGCATAGAGCCTGATAAAGAGAGGTTAGTTAGCCTCTTTTTCACCTTCCCACTGACATCCTGGGGAAGAACCTAGCCAGCTTTTTCTTACCCTCCTTTGCAGCTGGAATAGTTGTTTTCTTGGTTCTCTTTTTAGGTTTTAATTCAAATCCCTCACCCAGGCCTCATTCTAATAGGTGTTGGGGACTGTCCTTAGGTTCCATGCCACATGCAGGGAGAACAACAGGAGACAGCACTTGGAAGAGGCCCTTGGGAACCAGGTGTCCACCTGGGGCCAGTGGAGATCAAGCCCGAGTGGGGGATGCCCCATGGGGAAGGAGTTCAAGGCCTAGACCAAGGCACTGAGGAGCAACTCAGTCAGGATCCTGGAGCTGGGACCCAAGCCTTCCAGGAGCAGGGTAAGATGCAAACAGTAAAGAAGTAAGGACACAGAAAACTGTGCTTTGTGACTCTGTCTTTTACAAGCCCAGCAATTGATAAATTAAGTGACCTGTGGGCTGTAATTACGAGTTTTCCTGGTTACTTCCTTGACTTCAGTAGGAAACAGATGAAGTGAAATTGTTTTCTGTATCTTGACTCTCTGATTTCTGTAGGGGATACCTGGGATTATGCTCTCTTACCATTTCTTTTCTTCTCTTTTCCCTCACATCCCTTTCTAGAAACCTCCTGGAATATGCAGGTGACATGTAGAGATATTTTTTAAGTGGGCAGACAAACCATATCCCTAAAAGTAATATGTGACTTCATTGTGTTACTGAATCTCAAAGGGGGTTATTTCCAGAGTGTGACCAGGGAGCATGGCTGGTCTTCAAGGGGCAGGGCATATTGGGTTGGGATTGTCTTCTTGGTTGAGAACAGGGTAGGCTGTACCCAAACCCCATCTGTATGGAGTCTCCTTAAGGTTCTTAGGGTTCTATTTGTCAGGCAGTGGACACCTTTGAACAAGCTAACTGCAAGACAGTGCTAATCTTTCTCATGCTTTTTTTCCTTTGCTTAGCTCTGCCAGTTCTTCAGGCTGGTCCTGGCCTCCCTCCAGTGAACACCAGGGACCAAGAGATGGCAGCTGGATTCCTTACAGCTGGATCCCAGGTGAGCTGTACCTCTGCCCTTCTGGGGACCATGACATTGTTTTGAATGAGTTCACTTTCCCTAAGGTTTCTCTGCACAACTAAGTGCCATCCACAGGTTGAATTATTCCACCTTTCTTGTTCTGATGGATATGACAGCTTTGTTTTCTCCACTTTATCATCCTCAGTTAACTTGAGTTGAGCCTTATGCCTGGACCCTTAGGGTCAATAAGGCTCAATACAGTCATTTTTATTGCTCTGTGATTTTTTTTTTTTTTTGCGTGACTCAGGATTACTCTTTTAATTGTGAGGAAGAAGAAGACCTTATTGATAGAAACCCCCTAGGCTTGATCTAGGCTGTGGCAGTTGGTCAGTAACCCTTTGCAGACAGCCTTTATGGATACTTCTGCTGCTACTCTTCCTCTGAACCCTCCTTCTCCCACGTCAGCAAGAATGTAGCTGACTCAGGGTTCGGGACTCCCTGGAGCACTGAGCAGAGTGTTTCCACTGGCCCCTATCCTGGCTACACCAGGAGTTTTGGCCTTGTTTGCACTTCTTTGCCTGCCACAGATGGGGGTAAAGAGCACAGATGGGGCACTCTTGCCATGTCCACTGGGTGCTGTTACCAGGGAGGTGGGGGATTTCCAGCATGGCACCTTTCTGAAGGGGACAGTGGTTTTAAAGTGAAGAGTTCTTGTAGAAGGAAAGCTGTCATTTGGCAGGAAAAAAAAAAAAGAATCAAGGCTGGTCTAGCTAAAACTTTGGGCAAGGTTTATGCCTGTGTCATTTCCTATTCCTGTTTTTCCAGGATGGAGATAAAGGATGACAACATGTTTTAATTTTGCCAGACCCTCCCCTTCTCCTGTAATAGTTCTTCATGGTGTTGAATGATACTGAATTTATTTTAACACAACATTGTTCTTAAGACAAGGCCTGCCCGGGGGCGCCTGGGTGGCTCAGTCGTTAAGTGTCTGCCTTCGGCTCAGGTCATGATCCCAGGGTCCTAGGTTCAAGCCCCGCGTTGGGCTCCCTGCTCAGTGGGAAGCCTGCTTCTTCCTCTCCCACTCCCCCTGCTTGTGTTCCCTCTCTTGCTGTGTCTCTCTCTGTCAAAGAAATAAAAAAATCTTAAAAAAAAAAAAAAAAGACAAGGCCTGCCCAAATATTTACTTACCTCTGAGGGAAAATCAGTTTTTTTTTTTTTTTTAATTTTTTATTTAAAGATTTTTATTTATTTATTTGACAGAGAGAGAGACAGCGAGAACAGGAACACAAGCAGGGGGAGTGGGAGGGGAGAAGCAGGCTTCCTGCCGAGCAGGGAGCCCGATGTGGGACTCGATCCCAGGACCCTGGGATCATGACCTGAGCCGAAGGCAGATGCTTAACGACTGAGCCACCCAGGTGCCCGGAAAATCAGTTTTAGATGAGTGGATCTGCTCTGAGGCTTGAATGGAGGCACTTGAAAAATGGGAATTGGGTTCTGTGGTTGTGAGGGTATAAGCTCGGTGGCTGCAGCAAAGTCTCGGAAATACAGTGGCTCAGATGAATCCATTACTCCCCTGTCATTAACTGTCGAGAGGTAGGCCTTTCTGCCCCCAAGACCACTAATGACTCAGTTCCTTCTGTTTTCTTGCTCCATGCTTCCCTAGAGTGTTGTCCCCTGTTGTCTTCTGCTTTTAGACTCTTCCTACGTTAGGATTATTTTTCTATCTAAAGCAATTTCCTATTGTTTCAGGGATTGGGGCCATTTAAAGATATGGCCCTGGCCTTCCCCGAGGAGGAGTGGAGGCATGTGACCCCAGCCCAGATAGACTGCTTTGGGGAATACGTGGAACCCCGGGACTGTGGGGTCTCAGCTCCAGGTAAGACTGTTTTCATCCCAAAGGTAAGAAACTGAGGAATTTTGAAATTTTGGAATTTTGAAAACAGAAATAGGAAATGACATAGGCATAAACCTTGCCCAAAGTTTTAGCTAGACCAGGTCAGGGTTCTTGCCCTTGCTCCAGATTTCAGAACCTGGTACTACTGACAAAAGAAGATGAGTAAATGGGTCCAAGGAAAGAGCGTGGATCCAGGTTTAAGGAGCTGGCCATGTGCTTTCCTTTCAGGAGAGGAGTGGACAAGGGGGCAAGAAAACACCAGGCTGTGATGAGACAGGTCGGTCATTAGGATTCCTGGAGCACCTACTCTGTCTGTGATTGAAGAGTACCCAGGCTCGAGAGCAAAAGAGCGGCAAAAAATGATCCTCTGATCTTGTTCATTCAGTAGGGATTTATTGAGTGCCCTCTGGGTGCTGGCCCCACCTTAGCAGTTTTGTGTTGGGGCAGAACTAATGGCAGGGAACGTTCGGAGCATGAGGTGTGTGTACAGAGGATGGCAGGAGGATGGACAGAAGGATGTTAGAAACCGGAGAGGTCCATGTGCTCCCATGTCACAGAGCGAGCAGAGCCTGGGCTGGGCCTGTCTCAGATGGTGGCCAGGTTTTACCTGGGGTTGGAGCTGGAAGGGCGAGACCACGATGCAAATGAAAAGCCCACAGGAGGAGGAGCAGCAAGAGAGGAGGGAAGAGCGAGCCCAGGGAAGTACAAGGAGAGGCCCTGGTGGGAAAGCCGGGGAGGAGGGGGCTAGGGACTGCCAGAGTGGAGAGGAATCTCTGCGGGTTGGAGGGAGGGAGGAAAAGAAACGTGCTTGGGAATGGCCCTCTCCTTTGTTCCCTCTGCTTCTTTTCCTTTCATAACTTTCTAAGTTATATACTGACTGCTCATCTACTGACCCCACCCCATCTGGCCGATTTTCATCTTGAAACATGTTGAGGGATGAGTGAGAGTATCACTATACTGCCTTTAGCACATGAGAATCCATCCTGGCTCCATCACTTACTGATTGTGACCTTGTACACCACAGGTGACCTTTTTAGGGCTCTGGTTTCTCAGTTGCAAAATGGGAAATATCATGGCATTGTGAGGATTGATGTTTGGCGAATATAATAGTGTTAGATATTTTTATTAGCTCTACAAATATTATTTCTTTATGAGTCAGTCAACATTCATTTATTTATCACCCCAAAATATTTATTTGGCACTTGCTATGTGACCAACATTCTGCCGGTGACTATGAAGTCTTAAAGGTCCTTGCCTCTACGATCTTAGCAGCTTGGATGAAGAGCCCAAGTGTATGTAATAATGGTAGTTATGGAGTAGTGTAAGGGACACTAGAGGAGGGACTTAGGAGAACTGGGTCTAGGCAGGGTTGTCACGCCAGGGCAGTGATGTGAGTGGCCAAAGGCTGCCAACATATGTTACAAAGAGATGTAAGACTTGTGTAATGGCAGAGGACGTGGAAACCCTCAGACATAACTGTGCAGCGCAGGAGCTCCTGCAGTGTGCCCCAGATGGTGGTATTAGCATTTCAGCACCTTGGTTCCCCTCAGGGACAAAATTCTGCCACCAACGCTGCTGTGTGCTGGAAGATTCTGCCCTCCTATTGCTAGAGGGTTTTTACATGCCCTTGGCCATTCTGACTGTTAGAGAGTCTGGCTGTATGTTTGTCCTCTTCCCATTGTTTGAAAAAACCTAAGCACTTCCCTAAGTGTTTATGCTGTCTTGGTGGGCGAGGTCCGTTTCCCACGCATACTGTCTAATGGCTGTCTCAACCTTCAGATCATCCTGGGGTTTAGTCCCATGAATGTGTGGCTCCGGCATTGACAGCTGTGTAGGATTGGGCCTGAGAGACCAGAATTCCATGATATGTAATACCTAGCACATACTCATATCTCCTCAGGGTCTAGGTAAGGCTTGTGCTTTACATTTAGTTTCAGTTTTACTATTCATAACACCTCAAAACTGGAAACTACCCAAATGAACATCAGCCAAGTTAACAAATAGGTTCCAATATATCCTTACAGTGTAATACCATACACTAACAAAAAAGAACATAGTGTAATTATAGCTATGTTCCACAATGTGGGTGAATCTTAAAAGCATAATAATGAGCAGAAGCAGCCACAAACAATGTGTGAATCCAATGCATAAAGTTCAAGACCAGGCAAAAGCACTTTATGGTGATAAAAGTCTGGATAGCATGTTTGCCTAGGGGGGCAGGATATAGTCACTGGAGGGCATGGGAGAGGGCTTTCTGGATGCTGGTAATGTTTCTTGAGCTGGATGCTGTTTACATGGTTGTGTTCATTATGAAAATTCTTTGAACTCTATAGTTAATGTTTTGTGCAGTTTTACTTTCCTGGGAAATTTACAAAAGAATCCGTCAGAGGTGAGAGTCCTTCATCTTTGTTTAGGTCAGGAGGCATGTGATGTTTTTCTTTTTTCATTTTAACAGCGTCACCTGAAAGGACCCTTTCCATCCTCAAGTGCTGCTTGTTGTCTGTCTCTCTTTCTTTTTTTTAAATTTTATTTTTAAGTAATCTATATACCCAATCTGGGGTGCGAATTTACAATCTGAGATTAAGAGTCGCATGCTCCGCGGACTGAGCCAGCGAGGTGCCTCTTGTTTCTCTTTTTTTCTGTCTTGGCTGTTTTGCTCCCTAGAGCCTTCCCTTTTTTTCGCCTTCCTCCTGTTCTTCTGTGAATAATTGTGTTAATTTAGAGAGAATGAAAGAGGGATCAGAGGAAGGACATCTAGATAGCTTGAGGCATTTCAGTAGCATTCACGGGCATTTCAGTCTGGTAGAAGTCAGTGACAGAGTGGGTTTGTTCATTCATCCAGCAGCCAGTAAGCCTATGCCAGGCTCCCAGGAGACCCAGATTGATAAAACCTGGTTAGGCGGAGGGAGCAGCGTGAGCAGGGACCACTTGCTGAGCAAGTGTAGGGAGGATATGGAGAACTCCAAGTAGTTCACCATCCCTGGAATAGGTTTGTAATCTCTAGGGAAGGCAGAACACCTTGATGAATGTAAAATAGCATTTTCAACAAGATTGTGTGTAAATAAGTGCAGGATAAGCAAAGTGCTAATTCAGTATATATTCGCTGAAGAGAGCAAGCAGGGTTGGTTTCTTCAAGGAAATCATTGAGTTAGATTTAGAAGGAAATGAAAGTCCGAGTTAGTAGAACGTTAAGTGAGTGGTGGTTAAAACTTGGCAGACTATTCTGTAAAAAGGTACAGAGATTGTCTTAGCTCGGGTTGCTATAATAGAATATTATAGACTGTGTGGATTAAACAACAGACATTTATTTCTCAGAGTTCTGGAAGTTCAAGATGAAGGTTCCTGTAGATTCAGTGTCTAGAGAACGCCCTCTTCCTTGCTTGCACCTGGCTGCCACCTCACTGTGTCTTCACATGGCAGACAATGGAGGGATCCATCTTGTGTCTCTGCCTCTTCACAAGGGCAGTAATCCTATCATGAGGAATCATGCTCACATGACCTGTGTGTGCAAAGCGCTCTGGTTTCTCTTCCTTTTCTTATAAGGACACTAATCCCATTTGGGGGGCTCCACCCTTATGACTGTACCTTATTACTTCTCATACACCCCATCTCCTGATAGCATCACATTAGGGCATAGGGCTTCAACCTATGAATTTGGGGGGGTTGGGGACACAAACATTCAGTCAATAACAGAGATGGAGAGAAGTAGAGCAAAGTCTGGTTTTAGAGTCAGTGAAAGGAAACTGTATTGAGGTTGTCAGTCAAAGGGAAAAAGAAGGAATTGTTAGGGGGATACCTTAGGAGCCAGATTCTAACGTATAAATTTACTTTCATCGTTGCTGTAGAATCAGTCTGTATCTCCTTTGTCCTGTAGGCATTGGGAGCAAGGAAAAGGAGTCTAAAACCCGTCAGGCAGACCTCAAGGGGGCGCTTGCTCGGGTGACGTCAGAGAGGTTTGGGGAAGCCACACTTCAGAGCCCTGAGCTTGGAAGAAGCTGTGAGCAGGAGCCCAGTAGTTCTGTGGGAAACATGCCAGGGCCGTCGCCTCCTCAGCATGGCGTCATACCCCTGCCGGATGACCTCAAGACCCACAGCTCCTTCTGGAAGCCCTTTCAGTGCCCCGAGTGCGGAAAAGGCTTTAGTCGGAGCTCAAATCTTGTCAGACACCAGAGAACTCATGAAGAAGAGAAATCCTATGGGTGCGTTGAGTGTGGGAAGGGGTTCACCTTGAGAGAGTACCTCATGAAGCACCAGAGAACACACCTGGGAAAGAGACCCTATGTGTGCAGTGAGTGCTGGAAAACCTTCAGCCAGAGGCACCACCTTGAGGTCCACCAGAGGAGTCACACGGGGGAGAAGCCCTTCAAGTGTGGTGACTGCTGGAAAAGCTTCACTCGGAGGCAGCATCTGCAGGTGCATCGGAGAACTCACACGGGGGAAAAGCCCTACACCTGTGAGTGCGGCAAGAGCTTCAGCAGGAACGCAAACCTGGCTGTGCACCGGCGAGCCCACACGGGCGAGAAGCCGTATGGGTGCCAGGTGTGTGGGAAGCGGTTCAGTAAAGGGGAGCGGCTGGTCCGACACCAGAGGATCCATACTGGGGAAAAGCCCTACCACTGTCCTGCCTGCGGGAGGAGCTTCAACCAGAGGTCCATCCTCAATCGGCACCAGAAAACTCAGCATCGCCAGGAGACCCTGGTGCAGTAAGGGTGCCATGCTGAAAGGCACCTTTTTTGTAAATGGAAGGTCCTGGAAGGTGCAGGACCTTTCAGGACCACAAATGGAGGGAGACCTCATTGGAGGATGTATTCGTCTTTACTCACTGAAGGGCTTTGAAGTGGGGGCTGAAGAGTGATGGGTGCAGAAAGGCACTTTGACCCATTTTCTTTCCATTTGTTGAAAACAGAACCAGGGAAAGGCCTGATTTATTTTGAGTTTCCAGAGAGCACAGCTCCTCATGTCTTTTATCCAAGTGATGTGAACAGTTTCTCACCGTCTTTTGGGGAAAGGCTATCCTGAATTTCAGAGCCTCCTTTGGTGGAACGTTCATATCCGCCTCTTGAGCAAGTCTGGTAGTTAAAGCAAAATTTTCTCCCGTGTTGGAAGCTTAAACCTCATTTTTATGAGGGCTGTATCTACCTGCAAGATCATTAGTTCAGACTTTGCCTTTCTTCTTTTCCATTTAACAAATATTTATTGAACAGCTACTCTGTGCCTGGTGCTGGGAACACAGTGGTGAACAAGACACGTGAGATCTGAGCCTCCCGGAGCTTGTGATTTAGCAATGGAAACACACAGAACCATTAATAACTCCAGGCGTTCTATGTTATGTTTGTGCTAAGTGCTGTGTGAGAGGATAGTCTTCTGGTGCTCACTCGTTCTGCCCTGCTGCTCAGGTGCCTGGATCTTTCCCTCCCCAGTTGGGATCTCTCAGGCAGCTTTGTTGATTTTACTTTATTTGTAACCCCCTTTGTCTCTGTAACATTGTACCCTCATCTGTAAAATTTCCCCATTATTCCTTGTACTGTAACAACTGTTCACCCATCCATTAGGAAATTAATATTTTGTTATTGATCACTGAATAAACATGAAAGTATTTTAAAAAACATTCAGTTCTATATAAAGATCTGATTAAATGAATCCAAAAGATGAACTGGTATTAATACCTTATATTTGATGGCATTTTACAGTATATAAGATGCCTTTTTTTCTATTCTTTATTCATTCCACACATATTTGTTGAGGCCCAACAGGAACTCAGCTAGGTGTTCGCCATACATCAGTGAATAAAATAGGGGGAAAAGATCCTTGACCTTGTAGAGCTTACATTTTAGTGAATATATTTGATCTTCAGAACCACCTAAGGTGGAACCCATGGATACTCCCATAAACATTGGATCTGGGATCTGCACCTTTGTTCTTGGTCCTGTCAGTGTCTTGCCTTGAAATGCATTCGCCACCTACCCCTTGTTACTAAATAGTCTCTGTTGATACATCTAGAGCCTTGTTATCTGAGAGGATCTTGGTCGCCAACTATGGATGATGAGGTAGTAGTGATCTGTTTTGCATGAGTGCCAATTCAGGAAAAATAAAGATGTTTGTAGGCATTTAAAAATACATAATAATGAGAAGGTATAGTATTTGTAACTGTTCATGCTTTCTTATTTTGCCATCACTAAAGAGTTTCCTTTCTGCTTAAAATTCTGTGTAATGAATGTGGACCACACAGCAGTATTGTTGTAGTGCTGTGCCTTCGAATGCTGGCTGCTGAGTGAGAGAGTCTGAGTACTATAATTACAAGATGTGATTTGTCTTGTGGTGCCTTTTGTTTTTATTTTTATTGATGTATTTTTAAAAAAGTTTATTTGTGAGAGAAAGAGCGCACGCACGGGAGCACGAGCAAGGGGGAAGGTCAGAGGGAGAGGGAGAAGCAGAAACAGACTTCCTGCTGAGCAGGGGGAGCCCGGTGGTGGCTGATCCCAGAATCCCGGGATCATGACCTGAGCCGAAGGTAGATGCCTGACTGAGCCATCCAGGTGTCCTTAATGGTGCCTTTTAATATTAGATTCTTTTCCTGAGTATTTTTCTCCCCATTTTTTCATTGTAAATAAGATAAATGATGACTTCAACACAGAGAGTTTCATTACTCAGTCTACTTTGAAACACATTATTTTATCACATGTTTCTTAGATAGCCATGGTAGATAGCCATGATGTTTCATTTTAATTTAGCAGGTGACTTCCTGGCCTCTCAGCTGTCCCTATGAGCCTGCAGTAGCCAGGGCATAAGTGTATCTGAGATGTCATGCACTGTCTGAGACACTAGGCTGCTACTACTTAGCAATGTTGAGGTCCAGATGTAAAATCAGCTCTTCTTTCCCACTTCCCAGACAAGCTTGGCTAAGCTTACAGCCACCTTGCAGCCAAACCCAGGGGAAGGCTTTCCCTAAGTCTCTGACTTGTGGTCTGTAGGACCTGGGGCTGATGTGGCTTGAGTTTGGCCTTCTCTAGGAGGTCCATATTCCAAAACTAGTCAAGGAGTCTGGGCCTGCTACAGGCTGGGAGTAGCTCATCAATGGTCTTTTTGTTTACCTGAATTAAATTTATAGATTCTCTTTGATCATATCCTTAGCCAAATAGGACTTCGGGTTTTCAGCCAGTTGGAATCTCTTCAGAGAAGCTTTGGTAGGAGCTAGGCCTTGTTGGCTTTTTCTTTTAGGTTCCCCTGTCTGCTTTGAGACCAAAATTTATGGATGATGCCTCGAAAAAGCCTCAAAAGAAAAAATATTTCCATGGAGTTTTAGTAATATTTTTGTTACTTATTCAAATGTTAAGTATTTTGTTTTCTATGTTTTTCTATTTAGAAATTTTTTTTAATAGAAAATTTCAAACATATATGATGAATCCCCCTGTATTATTTGGCTTTACCCGTCATAAACTCATAGCCAATCTTGTTTTTTTTCTACCCCGTCTTCCCTGTCTTCCATCCCTACTGAAGTATTTTGAAACGACTCCCAAATGTTGTCTATAAATATTTAAGTGTGTACCTCTGAAAGGTAAGAACTCTTTGAAAAAGAAAACCCACAATACTATTATCATACCAATAAAAATGAATAATTCCTTAATTTGTAATTAATGTTTTCTTAAAAACCACATACTTTTAATTAATTAATTTATTTAATTAATTTAAATATTTTATTTGACACAGAGAGACACAGTGAGAGGGAACACAAGCAGGGCGAGTGGAGAGGGAGAAGCAGGCTCCCCACCGAGGAGGGAGCCCGACGCGGGGCTCGATCCCAGGACCCTGGGATCATAACCTGGGATCATAAGGCAGACGCTTAACGACTGAGCCACCCAGGTGCCCCAACCACGTATTTTTTTAAAAGCTTATTTGAGTTGTGGTCCAAATAAGATCCATAAGTTGCAATTCGTTGCTTTGTCTTCTAAGTCTTATAATCTATAGTTCCTATTTTTTCTCTTGAAATTCATTCATTGAAACAACTGCATTATTTATCCTGTAGAATTTCTTGTCTTTGAATTTTGCTGTTTGCATACCTATGATATTATTTAATATAGTTCTCTGCCCTCTGTATTAACTAAAAACTTACAAGTCTAGAGGTGTAACAAGATTCACTTCTCATATTTTGGCAAGAACACATTAGAGATGGTGGCATGTCTGGTTTATATATGATGTTAGGAGCCTAGATCTATTTATTTCATTAATTCTATAAATGATTCTTCGTTTATTAACTGGGATTCTTGTATCAGAAATTTCCCCTCATTAACTAATAGATTACTTTTAGATACAGTTCATACAGAAAAGAAAATGCTTGGTTCTTCCTTTTGCCTGTTTTCACAGTAATGATCTGGTTGCTTTGCTTCCTGTAACTGATCAATTATTTTTTCAATCAAAGTGCATTCATGAATTTAAACCAGTCTGCTGCAGTTCTTATTGATGCTCAGATCATTTCACCTTTGGTCAGTACCTTTTCAACTTGGCTCCTGATTCCTTTTGACATAACCGTAAATTATCTTTGGTAGCTTCTTTGCTTTCTGGTATGACAAGATGTTGCAAGCTCATCTCATACATTTCCTGCTCCTTTGACAGTGAAGGGAAGTGCTATTAATTATGCCAGGACAGTATTGTAAAGTGGGACTCCAGGACAAACGGGGATATTTGGTCACTTTGTTTATAGCCTTCATCGTGTGTGATTTGGTGTCTGCAGTTTCTTCACCCAACTATAATGTGCACTTTCAGGGCTGGCTGCATGTGATAATGAAGAGTGCCAAGGGGGTATGACCTTTGTAAGAGAAACCCCTCCTTATCCTTTGGGTGGTGATAAAACCAGATAACTTTCTGCCCAAGGTCTGTCCTGGGGAGTTATTACTTTAACATTTGCTTTTCAAAAGGTATGGCATGAATCTTACTTGCAGCCTGATTAACTGTACTTCAATACTCACGAGGTTTTTCCAGCCTTTATTTCGAAGGGTTCCTGCTGCTGGATTGAGGCACTGATGGAAGGAATGGGAAATAAGTGTTGGGGAAAAACCCCCGCAGGTAAAACGGTGTGGGACTTGCGCATGAATAGACCAATGGGATAACAGAAAACGTTGAGAATAGCCCCGGCTCTGTACAGAAATCTAGTGTGTATTAAAGATGGAATCTCAAATCTCTGGGCAGAGATTTATTTATTTATTATTTACTTATTTTATTTTTAAAAAAGATGATTGATTGATTGATTGATTTATGTTCGTCACCGTACAGTACATCATTAGTTTTTTTTTTTTTAAAGATTTTATTTATTTATTTGATACAGAGAGAGAGGTAGTGAGAGAGAGAGAGATCACAAGCAGGGGGAGCTGCAGGCAGAGGGAGAGGGAGAAGCAGGCTCCCCGCAGAGCAAGGAGCTCGATGCGGGGCTTGATCCCAGGACTCTGGAATCATGACCTGAACTGAAGGCAGTGGCTTAACCAGCTGAGCCACCCAGGCACCCCCATCATTAGTTTTTGATGTGTTCCATGATTCATTGTGTATAACACCCAGTGCTCCATGCAGTATGTGCCCTCCTTAATACCCATCGCTGGGCTCACCCCTCCCCTCACACCCCTCCCCTCAGTTTGTTTCCCGGAGTCCATAGTCTCTCATGGTTCATCTCCCCCTCTGATTTTTCCCCCTTCATTTTCCCCTTCCTTCTCCTAATGTCCTCCGTGCTATTCCTTATGTTCCACAAATAAGTGAAACCATATGATAAGTGACTTTCTTTCTCTTGACCTATTTCACTTAGCATAATCTCCTCCAGTCCCATCCATGTTGATGTAAAAGTTGTGTATTCATCCTTTCTGATGGCTGAGTAATATTCCATTGTATATATGGACCACATCTTTATCCATTCGTCTGTTGAAGGACATCTTGGCTCTTTCCACAGTTTGGCTATTGTGGACATTGCTGCTATGAACATTGGGGTGCATGTGGCCCTTCTTTTCACTACATCTGTATCTTTGGGGTAAATACCCAATAGTGCAATTGCTTGGTCATAGGGTAGCTCTATTTTTAACTTTTGAGGAACTCCACACTGTTTTCCGAAGTGTCTATACCAACTTGCATTCCCACCAATAGTGTAAGAGGGTTCCCCTTTCTCCACAACCTCTCCAACACTTGTTTCTTGCCTTGTCAATTTTTGCTGTTCTAACTGGTGTAAGGTGGTATCTCAGTGTGGTTTTGATTTGAATTTCCCTGATGG